GGTTGAAGAAGATGCTGTTTGGAGCCAAGTTGCAAAGGCTCAGTTAAGAGCAGGATTGGTCAGTGATGCAATAGAGTCATTTATACGTGCAGAGGATTCCACTCAATTTTTGGATGTGATCCGTGCTTCTGAAGATGCAGATGTCTACCATGATCTGGTGAAGTATCTTCTTATGGTTAGGCAGCAAACAAAGGAGCCTAGGGTGGATAGTGAACTCATATATGCTTATGCCAAGATCGATAGGTTGAGTGACATTGAGGAATTCATTCTCATGCCAAATGTTGCCAACCTCCAAAATGTTGGTGATCGCTTATTTGATGAAGCTTTATATGAAGCTGCAAAGATAATATATGCTTTTATCTCTAACTGGGCGAAGCTAGCTGTTACCCTAGTGAGGCTTAAGCAATTCCAAAGTGCTGTTGATGCAGCACGGAAAGCTAATAGCGCAAAGACTTGGAAGGAAGTTTGTTTTGCTTGTGTTGATGCTGAAGAGTTCAGATTAGCTCAGATTTGTGGTCTCAACATCATTATACAGGTACTTGGAAATAAATAATTATGGAAGTATGATTTATCTATTTGTTTATATTTTTGTGCGGGGGTGAGGGGCTGTTTTTGTTAAATTGTACATTAATTTACCTGCTTGATAATGGCTGTCTACATGCCTGAAAATATGTCTGATATGCCGAGAAGGGTTATATTCTTTTTTTTTTTTTTTCGTTTAAGCATGTCACTAGTTTATATAAGCTACTTCCTTATGCTTTAACCTTCATATGCTGTGTTTAGGCTAACGATATATATATTATCTGTTTGTGGAAGACTGATACTTTGATATTGTCTTATGCGTGTGTCAAAATTTTAGGTGGATGACATGGAAGAGGTCAGTCAGTATTATCAGAACAGGGGTTGTTTCAACGAGATAATCTCCTTGATGGAAAGTGGTCTGGGATTGGAACGTGCACATATGGGCATCTTCACTGAATTGGGAATACTTTATGCTAGATATCGCTCTGAGAAGCTTATGGAGCACATTAAGTTGTTCGCTACTCGTCTAAACATTCCTAAGGTTATCAGAGCATGCGATGAACAGCAGCACTGGAAAGAACTCACATATTTGTACATCCAATATGATGAATTTGATAATGCTGCTGTGACTGTAATGAATCATTCTCCCGAGGCCTGGGATCACATGCAGTTCAAAGATGTCGTGGCTAAAGTTGCCAGTGTAGAGCTGTACTACAAAGCTGTGCACTTTTACCTACAGGAGCATCCTGATCTAATAAATGATATGCTTAATGTGTTGGCACTTCGTTTGGACCATACACGTGTGGTTGATATAATGAGAAAGGTGGTTATTTCTCCTTTTCTTATAAATAAATTGCCCTCAATGCCTCAAAATGATTGCTATCTGAATTAGTAGGGCGATCTATTTTTTGCAATCTTTTCACTTAAAATCTCTTGTTTTGCAGGCGGGTAACCTGTATCTCGTGAAGCCATACATGATTGCTGTCCAGAGCAATAATGTCTCCGCTGTAAATGAGGCCCTGAATGAAATATATGTTGAGGAGGAAGACTATGATAGATTGCGAGAGTCAATTGATTTACATGATAACTTTGATCAGATAGGACTTGCACAAAAGGTGACTGCATCTAACTCCTTTTTTTTTTTGCTTTTATTATGGTGGCAGCTTTGATGTTTTCTTCATTTGACATACGTTGATAAAGAGGGGCATACGATTTCTCTCATACTTACATAGTAATGTTGATGACAGATTGAGAAACATGAGCTTCTTGAGATGAGACGTGTTGCTGCTTATATCTATAAGAAGGCAGGTCGATGGAAGCAATCTATTGCACTGTCTAAGAAAGATAAACATTATAGAGATGCGATGGAAACATGTTCACAATCGGGTGACCGCGAACTGGCAGAGGAGTTGCTGGTTTATTTCATACAGGAGGTACATCTTTTTTCCTTGTCTTTCAATAAAGGCCTGCGTTTTTGGCATGGGTTAGTTAGAAAGATTCTCCACATGGCTCCAATTTGGCATTATAGGCCTTGTTCTCATCATTTAGTACATACAAATTTAAATTATTTTTCAATCAATCAATCAAAGCCTTAAATTATTTTTGCTGAATTTAAATTGTTTTACTGAAATTAAAATAATTTTGTTGGACTTATATTAATTTTACCGATTAAGATTTATTTGTACCAATCGTTATTTTGTTCTTTGAAGTAATTGATTTTCATAGATTTAAAACTTATTTTTACTGAACAGAATTTTTTTTCTTTTTGCTCAACTTAAATTATTTTTTTACCGATTATTATTCTTTTAAGGTGAAAAGAACAAGGCCTTGTAATGCTAACGTTTTTATTTTTTCTTTTTGTTGGGGGGGGGGTACATAATGGAACACAGAATACGTTGAAAAAGCTGTAAATATGATGTTTATTATTTTGTAACAATTCTTCAGTTTTCAAGATACTTATGAAATACCCTGGTTTCTCTTGGAGTAATTGATGTTTTAAAAGTCCATGTGCTCATGACTACCTGATAGGCTGATATTAGTCTCAACTGGTTAGACGTAATGCTATGTACATATCTGAACCTATTTGGAGTTTGCTAACTGTAAAAACCTAGCTGTTGTGTCAGATGAGGCCTATTTAATCTATAATATGGGGATTGTCATCTTTTGTAAACTGGCAAGTACCATCTTTTTTGGGGCTAACTTTCATTGAATTTACTTTTGCAGGGGAAGAACGAGTGCTTTGCTGCATGCCTCTTTGTTTGTTATGATGTGATACGGCCAGATGTTGCCCTTGAGCTTGCCTGGATGAACAATATGATCGATTTTGCATTCCCATACTTATTGCAGGTAACAAATGTGGTTCTCATTGTAGGAAAGGATTGGAAGTGGGTTTTTTTTTTTAGTACAAGTTTGCCAGTTCCTACTTCCTGTTATACTGGATACTTGGTTGCTGGGATTGTGAGACTGATTATTGGTCATTGAATACACAAATTATAACGAGTTCAGAACATTTTAGAGCACAGTTTGTACTGCCGCATTTTGCATTAGAAGTAAAATTTTCATATCTGGTCTCTCTTGCAGTTTATCCGTGAGTACACAGGCAAGGTTGATGAACTTATCAAGGACAAAATTGAAGCCCAGAAGGAAGTAAAGGCTAAAGAGCAGGACGAGAAGGACGTAATTGCTCAACAGGTAGCTACCTATGGTCTTTATGTTTCTATTATATTTTCCAACTTTCGCGTTTCTTATTTCCTAATGTCCACATATAATTGGCTGCTGAACTCCCTTTTCACACGTCCTAAACTAGTCTTTAAAGAATTGCTCTGATATCATTATCTTTGCATCTCTCTGTCTTGTGCACAGACACTATCCTTTTACACTTTTTCCATTTCGGCATAGAAACTAATCAATACCTTCGATGCAGAATATGTATGCTCAGTTGCTGCCTCTTGCTTTGCCTGCTCCTCCCATGCCAGGCTCTGTACCTATGGGAGGAATGGGAGGTTATGGACCTCCTCCCCCTATGGGAGGAATGGGCGGTATGGGAATGCCTCCTATGCCAGCTTATGGAATGCCACCTATGGGAAGCTATTAGTTTGCATAGTTCGGGGAATTCGTTCTATCCTGAACTTGCTTCTCATCATGCTGCTGAGCTGCAGTTTGAAATTTTGCTGTGCTAATTATTCTGACGGAAGCTTCAACTCTTTCTTATGTGCTATACTCGAACTGGACAATGAAAGGTCAATCTGAGAATAATGTTGAATTTTTGCATTCTTTTTAGGTGATATATGGTTGATGTACATTTTTGTATCTTCATTCTTTTGACACAAGCTTATTCTTTTTGGCTGCCGCTGCTTGTAAGCCATCTGAAGTCCGTTTTGAGTTTCAAATTGATTTTGAACGGCCGTATTAAATTTTTTCCACTAATTTCTCAGTTCAATTTATTAATTGATTCCATCTAGAGCAATATTTTTCTCCAAAGTGTTTGCCCTTTTGATTTACGGAGTAGTAGTTTTGTATGGTCATACGAGGTACTTCGTACTTATTTAATGGATTCTTTACTGTTTGTTAAACTTCCCCAACTCACATGAAAGAAAGACAAAGAGAGTGCATATATTAGGGCTGATCAAATCCGCGTTGAACTGGCAAAGTAGATCTGATCATTCCGAAATTGAAGATTAATTTCTTTCGGGTTTCAATTTGGTTTCGTTGGAGCCTAAAAAAGGTTGTGATTGGTCTGGACCTAATTTTGATTTTTGAATTCTCTTTAATAAGTACCATCTCTGTACTTATTTCCACTTTCCATTAAATATTAATTGCTTAAGTGAGAAATTGTTGTAGATCAAAACATCTCTAATGGTTGTTGTAGCAAGAGACTTGACCATTTTTAAACGAGAAGCTTTGCAAAATGAGGAGAAATGTTTATCAACAATTGGTGACACATTCAAATACTCTGTAGCAAATAGCAAGTTCTGCTAACCATGTAAGTGAATTCTATATAAGAAGGAAATTAACTTGAAATCTTATGTGACGAGGCAAACTAATTTTACTATTTGTGTCATTTAAATTGCTAGTTCATAAATAAAATTGATGAATTAAAAAATCCGCACTTTCAAAACAAAAGAGTACATGAATCATCAAAATCTATTAAATTTTGTAGAGCTAAATTGATGAAATTTGCAGAACTAAAACCATACTTAGTTACAACTCTAGGATTGTAGACCAAAGTTTATGTTTTTGTGGTTAAGAGAAGGACCGTATGAAATAAGCACGATTTTTTTTTTGTTGGTAAGGAGAAGGCACTTTAGAAATGAAGGGAAAAGGTAAGGGAATTCTCACCCCAAAGTGACACTAGTGGGATTTAATCCCTCAACTTCTTGAGAAAACAAAGCCTAATTACAAAGTACTCCGTATTGTGCTTCACAAAAAAAAAAAAAAAAAAAAGTACTCCGTATTAAAGTTCCCATATACGGAGTATTGTATTTTATTCTGAGAAATAATATTCTTTGCAAAAGAGTCCGTAGAATCGCCCGGATCTAAGAAGTGAGAAAAAGCGGGTAAATCCATTTCACTTTTCTTCTCACCATCTACCCACTGTTGTCTTTGTTTCCCCTCTTTCCTTCCAAAAATCAACTCCCCAAATTTCTCTTATGAAATAATTGGGCAACAATTTAATTAAATCAAAATAATGAAGATAATCTACCTATTAATCTCAACTTTACTATCAATTTTCCTGAAATTTCCAATAGGTGTGATAAACGGAAGAAAAAACAGGAAAAATGCAGTTGGGTTTTTCCATCCATACACCAACGATGGAGGTGGAGGAGAGAGAGTGTTATGGTGCGCAGTTAAAGCCATTCAAGATGAAAGATCAGACCTTGATTGCGTAATTTACACGGGTGATCATGATGCTTCACCTCAGAGTCTTATGGCTCGAGCCACTGATCGTTTTGGGGTTCATTTGGTTAACCCACCTAAGGTTTGTTCACTATTATCTGGAAATTCTTTTTTTTTAATTGGGTTTTTTTAGCTTTTGTTACATTTTTATCAATTGATTGTTTTTGTTTTGAATTGGGTTTGTGTTGTTTGGTTGATTATTGGTGATATTTTGGGGATTTGCTTGTGGTGCTCTTTAAGCAATTAGGGTAGTGATGTATTGATGTAGACGAGATTTGATCACGGGTTGTGGGTACAATCTGCAATTACTTGGCTAGTTTTGATTTGCCAGAATTGTATAGACAATCTACACTGTTATGTTGATACTGATGTTGATGTTTTTGGTCCTTTTACAAGGGCAATGATTTAGACGAAATATGATCCAAGTATCAATTACACTTTTATTTGCCTGAATTGTAGTGGAATTTTGAAGTTTTTGGTTGTGCTAGTTGGTGAGAGCGGATTAGATTAGGTCGTTGGACTAATTATCCCTCTATCAAACAATATTTTTATACCTAAACCTACACTAGACAAGTCTAATGGTAAGTAAAGGGTCGATCCGCAGAGACGGCTAAACTATCGTCAACACTACCACCAACTAAGCTAGGTCAAAGGAGATATGAGGGGTGGATTAAAACAAAAGATGATAGCTAACTAACTACGGAATTAGAACCTAAGAAATAAAGTCACTAGGAAAGGGGAATCAAGCATAATTAATGTGACGAGCACAAGCATAGCAATAAGCATGGACATTCGCAATAAAATGCAAGGGGCAACTCTTAATCATCTTGGTCTCTCCTGAGCACGCTATACAATTAAACACCAAATCCCGACCAAAGGCTCGTGATCAACTCAAGGGGTTCTCTTCTACCTAAATAGCTCTTTTCCAAGCAACTAAATAGGGTAGCAATTAAATCATGCATTCAATTAGCCAAAGTGAAAGCAAGCATTAACACACCTCAATGAGCACTTCCAAATCATCAAGAAATAACCATACACACCGATATACTAGCACTAATCAAACGCAAACAAACACTATTGATTATCTAATCGGTCAAGTAGATGAAATTGGAGAATTGCCTAACAACCTAGGTCACTCTCGCACACACTAGGCCATTAGACTCTCAACCCCGCCTATGAGGTCGTGGTCAACCAAGCAACGAAATTCTTCTATTAAACTAGCTCACTCTCGCACAACTAGCATAATAGCGATTAAATCATGATATCGATTGGCTAAAAAGACACCAAGCATTAAGCCCTTCATTCTTAGTTCAATACACCAACAATCCCCATCAAACCATCAATAAAGTGTTCATTTTGCACATTAATCAACAATCATCCCTAACCCTAGCTAGGAAACTAAACTAACATGACTAAATCAACGAGACAATGAAACTTACACAAACTAAACTAAAATGAACAACTAAAATTAACCAATAAAGAAGAATAATGAAGAAACTAAGAACAAGAACATTGAAGAACAAGGGAAAAGCAACAAAGAGGAACTATTGAAATAATCAACTACTCTAACATTCAATAAACCAAAGAAAGCAATAAGCAAAGAAAGCAATAAAACTGAGATAGAGTTTAGAATGCTCATTGAAGTATTGAAAAGGAATCCAAAACAATGTCACATTTTGCATCTTCAACCTCCTCAATCCACCATTGAAGCTCTTCACTTTCTCTCTCTAAACTACTCTTAAACTAAATTACAAAACAAAGATTAAAACTAAATCTAAGCCCTAATCTAAGTGGTGAAATGATGGAGAAAGCAAAGGGGTTTCATCCCCTCAAGGAGGAGGGAAGACCCAAAAAACTCCCCCCCAAGTCTAAAGAAGGTCATGCTATTTAAATTACAAGAAGAGAAAGAAGAAAATCCGTTGAAAAAGACCCAGAAAGCCGCACCCGCGGTAGCTGTGCATCCTGGCAGTGTCGTGCAGATTCAGACATCCATAACTTCTGTTCTAGAAGGCTTCTTGGGGCGTGCGACCTACCGTTGGAAAGCCCTTCAAGTCTAGTTTTCAACGCAATTTGAATCGCTTCAATCCGATGTGTAGATCAAAAGTTATGGCCGAAAGAGTAAGCAAGGGTCTGTCTGCTGCGAACTTACGGATTTTCACTATTCCCTTCGCCGCGCCCGCGGGTTATTGGGCCGCGCCCTCTCTTGGTCCTCTCCAAGGCATCTCCAGAGAAAACTTGGGGAGGTCTTTTGAGGCCTAGAGAGCCCTTTTAAAGGCCTCTTACATGGCTCCATAGCGCTTGACTTCTCGAGGCTCGTGAACGGCTTCCCGAACTTCCCTCTTCTCTCGACTTCCACCTTTTCGGCCTACAAAACATAAGAAATATCCCAAAAGTAGTACAAATAGGCAAATAAGAGGGGATTACGAAGGAATTAGCATAATGATTGGAAAAACGGGGAAAACCGAGCGAAATAGGCTTAAACAAGCGACAAGCGTAGGGAAATGACATGGAATTGAGGCCTAAATAGTGGCATAAATGCCACTTATCACTAGTGCATTGCAATTGTAAGCTGTGTAACTGCGTGATTTTCAATTCTGTTGTTCTGTGGTTTTTGTAAGGTTTTGCGTGATTTCTGATTTTGAGAGTTTATTATGAGATTTGTTTTAGGAACTGATTCATGTTATCTCATGGGATGTAAAAATTATTGTTGGAGTTTGTTTTCTTGCTTATACCTTCACTATTTTCTGTATTGGCTTGACTGAAATGCAATCACTATGGAATATGACTGGTGTAATAAAGTTATGAAATGTGATAGGTTTCATGTGGTTGATTGCTCTCTAGTAGTCCATCTAGGGAGCGAGTATCCACTGCTATGCCATGCAATGACTGCATTGAACTGAGATGATTAGTTCAAGCTGTAACAGTTGCAATCCATCTGCATTATTCCGGGTTGTCGCTTTGATTATACTACTCACTGCCATTAATTAGTTTGTCACTGTCTTTCCATTTTTTAGCATTATGGTTTACCAAACTGAGGGTATTAAATCGTAAAGATCCAACCTGACTAAAATATCTTTTATTGGCTAATTCTTTTGGATATCTTGCTCTCTTTGTGGCCTCATAGTAGTTAGAAGTCTTAGAACGTAGAAGTCATTGGTAGTGTTCATCATTCCTGAATTAGTTGTGGCTTGGTGTATTAGGTGGTGCATCTAAACAAAAGGAAGTGGATTGAGGAGACAACATATCCTCGCTTCACTATGATTGGTCAGAGTCTTGGTTCAGTCTACCTCTCTTGGGAAGCTCTGTGCAAGTTCACACCTATGTATTATTTTGATACTAGTGGTTATGCTTTTACATACCCACTGGCTAGGCTTTTTGGCTGCAAAGTTATCAGCTATACTCATTATCCAACCATCAGTTCAGATATGATCTCTCGGGTTCGTGCAAGGAGTGCTTTGTATAATAATGAGGACTTAATTGCCAAAAGGTTGGATTTCCTGCATTTGATTTGTATTTTCAATGTATTTTCAGTCTCAATAAAGATTTGCCAAAGGAAACAGTGCATGAAAGAGTTGTTTTTCGGAGACCCTTTATGTTTGCGCTTTGCGGTATTTTTACTAACATCTCCATTGTAGGATGCTTGTTTGCAGCACTTCATAAAGACTGCGTACTTTTGAAATCTAGTTAGTTACTAGTAAAATAGGAGGTTCCATATGAACTCTGAAGCTCCTTTACACTTATGTTGATATCCTCAATTGCTCGTTCTGTGGCAGTGTTTGGCTATCACGGTGCAAGATAATTTACTATTCAATCTTCAGCTGGTTGTATGGGCTTGTTGGCTCATATGCTCTCACAGTCATGGTGAATTCATCCTGGACTCAATCACATATTGTGAAACTTTGGAGAATTCCTGAGCGTACTAAGAGGGTCTATCCACCTTGTGATACTTCGGGCCTGCAGGTAACTGAAATGAAATTCTCTAGTCAGCCCGTTATTTTTTGATGATTTATCTAACTACAAGTTAACCATTCTTTAGTAGCTTGAGAAAGCGAAAAGCAGAAGGCAAACAGTATAATCAAGTTAACCATTCTGAAGTAGCTTGAGAAAGCGAAAAGCAGAAGGCAAACAGCATAATCTGGTCTTATTAAAGAGAATGAAAAAATTACTACTATTACCTGCTTACACTTTTGTAGGTTCTTTTACTTTTGATTTGACTAGCTGGCGTTATATTTACTGAAAACCATTTTTACATTACTTTCCAAAGGTTCCTGCTACTACATGAAATATTTTTTGCTGGCTAGCTGATTACCAATTATCTTTCATGTTTTTTAGTATTCTTTGATTTCATCTTATTCTTACACCAATCTTTACCTCAATCAGGCTTTGCCTCTGGAAAGACCCACAGATGTGCCGGCTATAATATCAGTGGCTCAATTTCGTCCTGAGAAGGTGGGCATTTCTATGTATAATTCTGACGCAAGGTATTGTTGCTGTGGTTGACATCTTCAGGCCTTTGATGCCCATTATAGCTCTTATTAAGATTTTTCTTGTGCTTGTCTCAGGCACATCCTCTTCAACTCCAGGCATTTGCAAAAGCCATTAGTAAGTTGGATGCAGGCTTGCCTAAGCCTAAGCTCCAGCTCGTGGGTAGTTGTCGCAATGAGGCAGATGAAGATAGACTACAAAAGCTGAAAGAGATGGCTGTTAAGCTGAAGGTGGAGAATGATGTGGAATTCCACAAAAATATCCTATACAAGTATGCAGTTTAAGTAACTAAGTTAAAAAGTCAGCAATCCTTATTTTTGTCATGGTTCTTAAGCTTTTGTGCTATGTCACCTTTGTAGGCAGGGTATGGGTCGTAACTCATAAGCCACGCTACATGGAGTCTGCATTTCACTCAAGTACCCTTATAGTTGCGTTGGGCTGTCATTACAAAGTTGTGTTTGTCATTATGGATACTTTGGCACTTCAACTTAGGCCAATAAATTGCTAATACAGAGTATATTGGTAAATAATTGAGTCCATCTCTTGAGGAGAGTAACTACTCGTTTATGACAGTTGTAGAAAATATAAATGTGGATACTGATTAACTTTTCCTCAAACTCTCAAAAGCACCCCCTTATCTTTCCCCTTGGCTTCTAAAATGTTCCTGTTATATGCTCCATTTGAGTGCTTATTGGTGCTGGATCAATTTAGCTAGTTCATGCTGTGACATCACAAGTGATGAATGATTGTTACTTGGCTTACGTCTGACTGAATGTGTAGGGATTTGGTGAAGCTTTTGGGAGCTGCCATTGCTGGGATCCATACCATGACTGATGAGCATTTTGGCATAAGCGTCGTGGAATTTATGGCTGCCGGTGCAGTTCCAATTGGTAAGCAATATAAGGAACAGTAGCTCTATTTAATTTTGAAAGTGCGAGAAAACATCTAATGCATAATTACTATTGAATTACTTCATCTACCCAGCCCACAATTCAGCTGGTCCAAAGATGGACATTGTGTTGGAAGAAGATGGACATAAAACAGGATTTCTTGCACAATCTGAGGATGAGTATGCAGAAGCTGTTTTGGAAGTTTTGTCAATGCCAGAGACAAAAAGACTTGAGATGGCTGCCGCAGCAAGGAAGCGAGCAGGCAGATTTTCAGAGCAGAGGTTTTACGAGGATTTCAAAGCCTCTATTCGACCAATTTTATGCCAAACTTCCTGAGTAAACAAAATTAATGAACCACGCATATGAGTTTTTGTTTCTTCTACCTAACACAGATTCAGATAGAGGAGTAAGCACTTCATAGTTGGTGAAATTAGTCTAATCTTGAGTTATATAGGGGACAGCAGATTTGTCTTACAGAATATGTTTTTATATCTCATTACCAAGTGTTGTTAGCAAGTTTTGATTTGGTTACATGTCTAGTTTTTATGGTTGAACGCTTTACATGAATTGGCACAGCCATGAACCAAGAGTATTGATCACGATTACAGATTACTGCGTTATTGTGAGTGTGGCTTTATTGTTTTCAAAAGGAAAAAAAAAAATGAAAAGATAAATGAAAGAAGCTGAACTTAGAAACTTGAGTTTGGGTCACTTCAGCATATGGTCATTTGACTCATTTCATTTTACTAGAACATTGGGAGAGGATGAGATAATTTTCTTCCCAAAAAAAAAACAAAAAAAAAAAAAAAAAAAAAAAACAGCACATGCTTCCTCCATTTCATAAATATCTTTAACTTGTACTCTGTGAAATTTTATGTTGCCAGCGTTTAATCATTGATATATATATATATTTCTAAATAGAAATTTTTTAAAAAAGTTGTATCAAGATGAATCTAACAAGATTTAAGTTGAAGTTAGCAACTGCAAAAAGGGTGGAAAATTTCCCAAAGTAAGTCTCTAAGGGAAACAATTTCCCAAACTAGACGCGTGGCAAAATTATTTACCAAACTAAGCTTCCAGGGTAAAACGCCAAACAGGATGGCGTTTTTACCTTGGGCATTTATTTTTTTAATTTTCCGTCAAGGAAAAAACGCCATCCAGGGTGGCTTTTTACCCTGACTGAATTTTTTTTTTTAGGGTAAAAACGCCACCATGGTTGGCGTTTTTGTATCGGGTAAAAATCCCCACAGAACCTCTATTTTTCAGTTGTTCTTCAAAACACAAAAACCCCCAATTTCGCAAACCCTAATCCGCGACATTTTGGTTGGCCAATCCCCAAATTGGGGGTTTTTGTGTTTTGAAGAACAACTGAAAAATAGAGGTTCTGTGGGGATTTTTACCCGATACAAAAATGCCAACCGTGGTGGCGTTTTTAGTAAAACGGTAAAACGCCAACCATGATGGCTTTTTTACCTTAGCTAATTTTTTTTTTTAAAAAAAAAATCAGTCAGGGTAAAAACGCCACCCTGGATGGCGTTTATGCCTTGACTGAAAATTAAAAAAATAAATTCCCAGGGTAAAAACGCCATCCTGGTTGGCGGTTTACTTTGGAAGCTTAGTTTGGTAAATAGTTTTGTCACGCGTCTACTTTGGGAAATTGTTTTCCTTATAGACTCACTTTGACAAATTTTCCAAAAAGGGTATGTAATGTTTGTTTGAATAGGTCAAAATGACCCAATAACATTTTATTATTTGATCATATATAGAGAAAATACAAGTTTCTCAATTGAGTATTTTCGTCTTTTTGAACTAACGGAAGCTTAAAAACGTTAACCCACAAGTAACATATCCATCTCTCCTCAACAATGAAGTTTGAGAATCTTTCATTAATGGAGGTCGAAATTTTCTACAACAATGAAGAAATCACTCACAAATAATGACAAATACCTATCATTTAGGGTTAACCATGCCCTTAATTCACATATTTTTCTGAGGGTTTTTCGTTAAATTTGACGGTGAAGCCGTCGGAATCGATGTTTTGGGGTCGAGATTTGTTGTGGTGTTAGTGGTGTACTGGTGTTGAGAATGGTGTTTGTTTGTTGGTGGGGACTTGGGGATGAATCTACCATTGTTGATGAGAAAGGAAGATGGAAGGATGAAGATGACGAAGCTAACGTAGGAAAAACTTCTGTCATCTCATCACATGCTATCTTCTCACACAATCAGTAAAGAGACCCGCTACAATGTCTAAATAATTGCAAAAATGTCATTTGAGAAACAAACTCAGTATCTCGATTGAGAAATTGGGGCTTGCTCTTATATGTATCCTCCGTTTAAAATTAATTGTTTTCTTATTTTGTAATAAACAATTATTATTGCCAAAGTTTTTGAACTTTAACCATGAAAATTCAAAATATGGAGAAGTAATTTGAGACGGAAAAAATATAAAAGAAGAAAAAAAAAAAAAAAAAAAAGAAAAAAGCAATGTGGTAATCACGCGCAATAGAAGTCGAGTAGTGTCAAGTGAGTGAAGAAGAAAGAATTTCATTCTATCAATAAGGTGAGAGAAGTTTGGTGCCACAAACACCATCACTAGCTTCGAGAGCTCATATGGTTCAGCTTCAACCTCCGTCAACCTCCTAATGATGGCGGTTTCACTCAACTCCGTCGTCCCCTTTAATTCTGTAAGTTTTCTTTCTGTTTTTATTCTTTTTTTTGAAAAACTTTTTTGGGTAATTTGTTCTTCTGTCTTTTCTTGATTAATCTAATTTTGAAGAAAGTTTTCTTTTTTATGAATATAATTCATTCTTTTGGTAGTGTTGCACAAATTTTGCTTATGTCTGGAGATCCAATGTAACTTTGTTTCAAAGTATGGTTAATTGGGATTTCGAGAGACTAGTAAATGCACAAAGAATAGTCTTGGTTACGTGAAGTGGTATACCCATTTGTATAATAGAAATTGCCAAGGCTATGTGATGAGTATTCCTACATTTCCTTACCCTTATTTTTGTATTTGTTGGATAAGGTATAGTATTATGAGTTTATGAGTCCTAGTTGGATTGATAGACCTTAGTAAATACTGTAAAAGGCTAATGATGATTTATAATCTAATCAAGCTATTGCAAATTTGATTTACTTTCCAAGCATAATGGTGAAAATTTATTTATGTGCACCTAGTAGCGTTCTCAACTTGTGTATTCGAAGAATGGAACAATCGTTTATGAATTGTTGTCACATTAGTAGGGAGTGTATGCTCTTGGATGTTATGTAACTAATAGGAGCCATTACCTATGCTTGTAATTAGTGATTTCTTTTAGGCTTGAAGGTTGATCCATCCGTTCATTTGCTGGTCATTGGTTTATTTCATTGATTATACGAGGCAGCTTGGTTTTATGTTTTGCCACCTCTTGCCCTTTTGTTATGAAGGTATACTGCTAAGTGTTGCTAATAGAATCATGGAATTGGAATCTAGATAAAATCTGGTATTCTTTTTCATAGACTTCAATCGTGAAGCATGTCAATTTATTGCGCCGTTTCAACTGGCCATGGAGTGATCATCTGAGCCTGGATTATTGGGTATTTTTTATGAAACTTACTGCTGGCTGGCTGGAAGGTCATCATTTCGAGAGTCCAAACGTTAGATGGCTTTTATGATGTATTCTCTCCTAGATTGCTTAAGATTTGTGTGTGGATTCACTTAGTGAACTGTCCTCTTTCTATGATATTGCATCCTTCTACCTTCGGCTTGCCATAATAAAGGCTTCTATCAAAGTACGATGACAGACACAGACACTCTTTATGATCCCTTGAGATTTTACTTTAGACATCAACATTACGTGATAATCTAGTTGCACTTTTTCGTAGTCACAATCACACTACTGATATTAGTTCGGTTTCAACCCTGAAACTGAGCTATAAAGTGATTTGCTATCTTTTAATTGCTATTGTATTTAATCTCCCTCTCTGTTGGATGCACTAGATTCAACTGCTCAAAGACTCCCTACACTTTGTTTGACTGTGTGGTCTCCTGTCTGTTTCAGGACGTTTGTCTTCAGGATATATGTTTACTCTACTGTCAAAGTGAGGTTATTTGTAGCTCCTTGTACTGATTGTCCTAAAAAATTTCTTTAATGGCAAATTCTAAATATATAAATTATCTTGCTCCTTCATCAAAATTGGTTTATGACCTTCTGAGCCTCGACTTTAATTTTCAAGGAGACTAAACTTCCTTGATTTGATAAACTTGGTGATGTGAAATGAAATCAATACGGCCTGAGCTTCTAAGAAAAAATTTCCATGCATCTATTTTATGCATTGTTCTGCAAGTTCATGTTCTATATTTATGTTGGTCACATTCCATAAGAGGTAAAATCTCAGAAACACAGAATACGTCATGTCCTTAGTTGCAATATAGTATTGCTAAAATTTAGCAAAACAGGAAGAGAGATCAACACTTCATGTCCTTAGTGCAATTCAGTATTGCATCTGATGAAAATTATGGGATTATCGGACGAATGTGCCAAATGCATGTTCTGGTAATCATGCCTATATAATTGTGGGAGTAGCTTTAAAAAGTTCACCACCTTATCTGATGGCCTGCGAAACTTTTGGATGTAGTTTTAATTATGATAATTTCTGATGTCCTTTTCTCAATCAACTGTGCAGGTCTCTGGATCCTCCATTAGATATCCTGTTCCGAAAATTGGCCATGTTTCAGCTCCCTTTTCCCTTATCAAATCAAGGCAAATCATAAGTTTAAACAGAAGACACCTACATCTATCAGTTGCAGAGAGTGACCGTATAGTTACAGATCGCGGTGAGAGTTCAAATCCTGAAGATTCTTCTCCTAATCCTGCTCAATCAGAAACAAGTGTTGCCGATGACTCAAAACAGGAAAACAAGATACCTTCATCTGCTGATGTGCAATCAATACAGAAGAAAACACCACTAACTGCAAGAGAAAGACTGAGGGCGGCAAGGGTTCTGAGCCGTTATTCAGATTCCAAGCCTGCTAAATCAGAAATTGGGCGCAGTGTATTGGATGCTTTGAGAGAGAGTGAGAAAGGAAAGAAGGGCCTTCCACAAGCCCCTACTAACCTGTTTGATGACAGTAAGCGGGGAATGCCTAAGGCAGGCTTGACGTTCGACTTCCCTGGAGGTCTCGATTTGTTTCTGATTGCCTTCTCTTTTGTTTTTATCAGTTCAGTTATGTTTGCAACCACATACATTGTTTGGAAAGTTGGCGCTATACATTTTAATGAATTCTGATACACTATAGTCGACATCAAGGAGTATTACTTCGGTAATCTTTTATTGTATACTGAGAATGCAGAAATCATAGTCAAATGAGGCTCTTTACTACTGTATTTAGGTACTGAATATATACAGATGTATATGGTTCTAAAATGCCTGAAGTAGAGATTGAAACCAACTAGTATTTCTCGCTTGCTAGGCTTCATTTGCACATCAATCAGATTGGCTGACAACTGCTTCAAATAGACTAAGCCAAAAAAATTTAGGTGGAGGAATAGAGAATTAACAATTTATGTAAAAGACTATCCAGAAAAGAGATGCTCAACTTCCTTAAAATATCGATGGGATAGGATCACTAAGTCCGAGAGTAACATATCTATTCTCATCAAATTTCTATTAAGTTGATGATCGAGTATGAATGTCAACTAACTTAACTGTTTACTGCATATATAAAGTCTTAAAAGATAGTACCCCATATTTAACGATTAAATTATGTGGTGCCAATTTATATTAACTGGCAAAAAAATTGAGTGGATGAGTCAATCGAGTGTTTGTTGAATGGAATAGGAACACATTCTTGCAATAACCATATGATACAATGATATCCCTATTTCCTCCATTATTCACTAGCTCCTTTTTACTCCCTGAGGCCAACTAATTTAGCACCATATAAACTGTATAAAATGAGCAATCAAGGACCTGCTCTCTGCCGACAATATGGACTTTAATTTTCTACAAGTGTCCTTTCAATTATGATAAAAGAAAATGTCAGAACAAATACATAATTATTTGGCCTAAGCTAGCTAGTCTAAGAAAGATTGAGCACTAAAGAGCAAGAGGGTTTTATAACTTGTCTATTTCACCTCTTCATTTGCCTCTATGACCCATCATTTTTCATGACCAATTAAGACCATTTAATTGTGCTAAAATTTATTGATACATTGGCTCAAAACCAAAAAAAAAAAAAAATGTCTGGTTTTGCAATCCAAAGAAGTTTAACTTTAAACTCCATTTTAGATAAAGTTTTCTTACAAAATATTCATAAACACGATACAAGTCAGATGACAATTATATACAAGCAGGTCAAGCACAATTTAAAACCCAAATTTTATTTGGAAAATTTTGTTTGATCTTAATTTCTGATATTAGATGAACTAGTCTTTTCATTCGTGCAAGGCCAGTTGTGTAAAGGGATAAAAACATTAAAAAAAAAAAACGAGAGAAATTAATAGCAACAATACATGTCTTTTGAATTTGTGCTTTCTTAGACTAAATATAGATATTATTACCTTTAATACATTACACATGTGTTGCACTGCTTCAATTACATGCATGATGCATTCATTCACAAGTCACAACCATATTGTTCTTCTAATTCAATTTCATTTATATTAAACAGTATAAATTTGGACATAAATAGTGTATATATTAGATTAAGAATTATCATTGTCATGTACGCCAATCATTGAGATCAAGGACAACTAAAGTGAGTAATTTGCATGTCCTCTGCCTTGCATGTGTCTTATTAGATAACCTCATTGTGTATTTCTTGTAATTTTTGCATTCACCCATCTCGATCGATCTTACTTGTCAATAATGTGTAGTACTTCTATATTACACGGTTTAGGTTCCTTTAGAAACTTAGAATATGTCTTCTCATGAAGATTGGAAGAACCTCATTAGGCTCTGTTCTGTTGAGCTGTTGTGGTGTGCTCTGCTCTGTTGAGTCCTGCTCTGCTCTGCTGAGTATAAATAAGTTGCTCTGCTCTACTCTGTTGAGTTTAAATAAGTTGTTCTACTCTGCTGACACCTGCTCTGCTTTGCTGACATCGATTCTACTCTGCTCAAAAGAACAAAGTCTTAATCTTCTTTCAACTTGATTTCTCCTTTGCAATAAATGAAATGGGGTAGGATTTACTGAGAAAAAAAATCTCACTCTATTATTAGTATATTTGAGATCCTAATTCCTAATCAATTATAATTCGATAAGTACATAAAAAAATTTGTAGTCCATGATTTGCAAAACCTTGAATTTAACAATGTCATGAAAAGTTCTCCATAGCCTTGTTGATTTACTTGCTTCATGAAATCTAGTTGGTGGTCAAATTTGTCATTAATAGTAGGTATTCGATCACTTTATCGTTATACTCTTCAACTCATGGAATTGTTCAGTTAAAACTAGTGTATGACAAGACCAAAAAGTCTGGACGTACTCTATTCTAATCGACTTATTTTGTCTAAACTTATTCAAAATTATTTTTATTATACCAAAATTTACAAAAGCATTATCAAATTTGAAGCTATCTACGAATCAAGCTAAAAATCTAATACACTATCATGTAGTCCATATATTGGAGTAATTGGACCGACCAACATAAGAATTCAATCAAATGCTGGTATGAAATTTTTGCATGGCACCGAATTTTTTAACCTTTATTCCCGCCCACAATTGTATGAGCAATAAGCTTAGCAAGTTGACACATAAAAAGACAAAACATCACATAGGATGCGTTGCCAATCAGAGTAACACTGTATCTTTGATGAACATCTAAAATCTGAGTAGATAAGTATGCATAAATTTTGTGGCTCATTTTTGCTTTGTTTTCATTTTTTGTGGGGTGACGATCCCATTGTTTGTCCTCACTTCCTATCTATTCATATTTGTAATATCACCAAAGACATCTCCTATGTTGATTTATGATGCTGGTGCTTTCAAATCCAACATCTTTGATTATGTTACATCCTAATTAGGATGGTTTGTTTAATTGTAAAACGGTCTATTCGTATATTTGCGATATTATAACAGGTATGAAAAGACTAATTAAATTTATAAACGGTAATATACATTTACATGATTCACTAACCATACCTAAGCTACATCCATAGTTGTATCAATTTTTATTAGTAAATATCAATAAATTGGGCTACATTAACAGTTAAGAGGTGTATAAACAAACTATCTATATAAGACTATATAAGGCCTGGAAAATAAGTTTAAACAGATAATTGTAGCTCAAGAGATAAGATTTTGCATGTATATTTCACATATATACCCCATGCACAATTCAAATGGATGCACTATTTTTTAAAAAGAATAAAGTGAGTTTGGATCTGACTACAAAAAATGATGTTTATTCAAATATTATGTGCTATGTATATTTGAATAAGTGTGGAAAAAAATATCAAAGGTTTAGTTACTTCAAACATCAATGAATTTGTGTTTGATAGATGCTAACTTACTAAGTTTTTATAGAAGATTGACATCATTAAGTGAGAAGATTTTTTTTTTAAAAAAAAAAGACAATAAGTGATAAGATTGATAATGCTTATGTTTAAATTTTCATAGTATTATCAACAAGGACAACAACTAACACCTTGATCTAACAATTTCACAAATTCTTCTCACGAATCTCACTTACAAATAATGTCGTCCTTGATCAAGCATTGTAAAAAAATATTTTCTTTTCACCTTAAAATAATCCGGAAAAAATAAAAAATACAATTTGATAGGATTAATGACCCAATTTCAATTCGCAACTAATTTAAAATGAATTGAAGCATTAGAAACGTTTGTTTCATGTGCAAGAAAAGATTCTATAACTATATAAAACTCTTGATTAGATCAAATCTTATCCCTTTAATTAGAACCATATAATGTTGCCCTCATTTAACTTATAAAACAAATCTTTCACACTTTGAAAGTAAATCAATTGCTTACTACCAAGTTAACCATGGGCCAATATAGTGGAGAGTGACAAAGTCCAATTTAGTTACTTTCACAAAATACATAGAGAGATTTCAAAAATCTGCTATTTTGTATTCAATGATGAGGTAAGATATATCTATATCTATCAATCCTAGAAAGATTTTTATTGGACTAGTTTAGTAGGAATACTCCAAAAAGCAAATTAGCTTAGGCATAGACATATATATGGCCCCCAATCACTAACAAAGAACCATGATCACAAATTGGCAAAATTCTAGAATAGTACACCAATTAACTAAAAGTAATCCAACTATATTTATCGACCTATTATTAAGTGGTTCAAAATCATCAATTATTCGTCATCTCATTTAATAATAAATTGATAAATCTAACACAACACGGATTTTGAGTGGAAAATTAAATTTCGACAAAATATTATTCTCGTTACTTTATGGATAATTTATAATTAGTTCAGAACCATATATGACATGGAAATCTCAAATCACTTAAGAATAAAGTTTTCAACGGCGTAGATGACTATATATGTAGACTTTAGACCAAGCAAAAAGAATTTTATTTTTATTTTTTATAAGTCATATGTTATCTTCATATATATATATTCTCACAAAAAGGTTTTATAATAATGGCCCAAAATAGCTTTAGCTATCCTAGATTACCAGAAGAGGAAACTATGGGTCATCATTTTCATGCTACTACTGCAACAAGAAGCATGCAGTTGTTGCAAGAATTACCTACAAATTATGGCTTCGAATTTGAAGGAATTGCAGAATTAGAAGATAAAACTGCTGCTAATTCCTCTCATAGCCATAGGCAAGCTGAGAAGCGCCGTCGCGATCGGATTAATGGGCAGCTTGCTAGGCTTAGAAGGCTTGTACCCAAGTCAGAAAAGGTAATAATTAATTAAGCCTCCTTAATTTCGATCGATTTTATTAACATAATAATGTACTGTTTATTATGTATGTTTAAGTTTGTTTGAACACATTGTATATTTGTATGTATACAACTATGTATGCAAGTATATAAGAGATGATAAAGCTATGATCATTATCATCAGCATATTGTTATTAAACATCAATAGTTGTGGTTTGGCCTAATTGATATAAAAATTAATAGTGTCCATAAAATAGTTTTATTACTTAATTTGATAATTTCATCTTGGTGCAAGATCGTGACATTTCATATATTTGAAAATATTTAGCTCCCAATGAAAGAATTGTTATTATAGTCCTAACTTCCAACCATTCAACTAATTTATCATTATCTTTGGTCATCGAATTGGGCCCTCTTACATGTTAGTCCGTACAAAACAAACAAAGGATCACTTTGTTGGTTATGGAAGACAGTATTGTTGTACTCCCTATAGCCTAAGTACTCATGTTTATCAAGCTATTAGTGGATTCTTAAATTCTGTTGAATTGACCACCTTATATTTTGATGATTGACCTACATAAAACAAACTTTGACTAACGACGTTTATGAGTCTTGGTTAAAACAGAAGATTCAGGTTTGAAGTTAAATGTTCTGGAGTAGGAACAACAGAGTTTGGAAGACTTGATGATGAATGCAAGCTTTCAAGATGTTCTCACAACTCTATATTCTTAGTTACTCAGTGTACGAACTTAAGAAACAAAAGTGTTGGAAGGAATTAAGAAGAAACTCGAAGTTCCTGAAGGAACCTGAAGTTCCTGAGAGAACTTGACGAATGACTCAGAAAGTTTTAAGCGAAAGTTTTAAAACGGTTTTCAAAAACCCTTAATTTAAGGAAGTGATAAAAATCAGTTTTGAAAAAGATTTAAAAAGATTTTATAAATAAATAAATAATTCATTAATTTAAAAAGATAAGTTTTAAATTAATTAATTATTTATGTTTTAATTAATAAATAAATAATTATCTTTTTTTTTAATAAATAATAATTATCTTTTGAATAAGTGATTGGTATCATAGAACAATGTATACTACAAGAGGGGGGGTGAATTGTAGTGTATGTAGACTATGGTAAATTTTGCGGAATTAAATCTACTACTAAGAGAAAAGACACTGAGATAGGCAATGAATAAATTCACTATGTAAAAATGATTTACAATCACTAATACGTTGCCTAGACTCAAGTTCCGTGAGGAACTCAAGTTACCCAACTGTGATCCCTCAATCACAGTTTCTCACACTTTGTGATTCTACTCCGAATCACTTGTACAGTGTAAACAACTCTCTCAAGTCTCACACTTTACAACTCTCACAACCCAAACCCAATTACACAATGATTACAAGTATTTCCTAAAGAACTTAAGAGACTAAGGATGGAAGGAACTTCTCTTTTAAACACTTTGAAACTCTAGGCTTAGAATACTTAAGATTGTTTTTCCACGCTTTCAAAACTTAACGTTGATCTGTTTTTATAAGGAGTTAAACCAAGCTTCCATCAAGTTCCCACTTCCCCCTTAATCCCACGTTCTCTTTGACTGAGAAGTTGGGATGTAGGCAGAGGAAATTTAGGAACATGATTTCCCTAGCTTGACTCCTAAATTCAACGTGCTCCTTAATTTAAGCAGCCAATATTTACCAAGTTAAAAATCAGTTAAAGACTTATTCAAAAGATAATTATTATTTATTAAAAAAAAGATAATTATTTATTTATTAATTAAAACATAAATAATTAATTAATTTAAAACTTATCTTTTTAAATTAATGAATTATTTATTTATTTATAAAATCTTTTTAAATCTTTTTCAAAACTGATTTTTATCACTTCCTTAAATTAATTAGTTGAGTCATTTATTATTCACATTGATTAGTCTAATTAGTTGAGTCATTTATGCTTGGTTTCATCATAACCTCTAGCATTAAGATATATATCAATGAAGTCAAAGTAGGTCCAAAAACTTATTAAGATGTCTAGGGAGCTAATTTAGAGCAATATCATTGCTTACATTATGTTTCATTTGAAAGATTCTCCATGTATTTTTAAAGGTGCTACTTTTATAGACATAATTCACATGATTAAATTTCAAACATAAAAAAAAAACTAAAAATAATTGTGTTTCATAATGTGAGCAATGATTTTGCTTCTTCATTAAATGCTTTAAACACAGTATCTACCACATAGAATAATAAGGGAAAATATAACGAGATGTTATATACTATCTAAAATTCGAATGATATTGGGTAGAATCTCTATCTTACAAGCCAACTCTTTAGCAATTTGATCTCCGTCTTAAATTACTAAAATGCCCTTATCTTTTCAGTAATCTCTTAGACGAGTTGTCTATGTGTCGTATAGTACATATCACGTGCATTTAGAATTAGTTTTGCAATATTAAAAAAAAAAAAAAAAAAAAAAAAAAAAAAAATCATCACGGTTTTCTTACTTGGTAAAACAGATGGACAAGGCAGCTCTCCTAGAAAGAGTAGTAGAGCAAGTTAAGGAGCTAAAGAGAAAAGCATCAGAAATCAGCAAACTCTTTACAATCCCAACAGAAATTGATGACATTACTATTGAATGTCACACAAATAATATGCAAGGAGGCATCCCGACGTTTGCTCGTGATCAGAAAGAAAATCATCCCAACAACAAGAACATAATGTTTATGAAAGCTACATTATGCTGCGAAGACCGGCCCGACTTGATCCCTGAGCTAATCCGGGCACTTAAAGACCTCAACTTGACCATAATTGGAGCTGAAATTGGTTGTTTAGGAGGTAGAATGAAAAGCATTCTATTACTTTACTATAAAATAGATAATAATGATGGTGTTTGTAATGTTAGTGCAATTAAGCAGTCTCTAATGGGTGTTTTGACTAGAATTATATCATGGTCTAGTGCTAGTACTTCAAATTTTCGTGTCACAAGTAAGAGGCAACGCTTCTTTTTTTCCTCTTAGTTGATAAATAGGTATAGCATTATTGAGTTTTACATTATATATAGTGGAAGTATATGAAATAATAATCATGTCTTGTGAAAAGTCCAACTCTCGTTGGAATGATAATGCATGCTTTTTCGAGGAGATTAAACATGATTTGATTTGATTATACGGATCGCAAAACATTCAATATACACCATAGGTCATTGTCTAGGCGTGATTTACGTATACATTGACTACGAACGTATTTTTTTTTATAAATACAATAAAGTACATATTTAATTGAAATAATCACGTGGAATATTGTACTATAACATGGTGCAATAGAATATAATGTACAGTATATCAATATATGACAAAGTATGTGTGGGAAAGAAGCATAAAAACATACAAACAAAATGAAATGAATGTAATGTTGGAGTGTAACTATTAGAACTGCAGCGGAATTTGGCCTTCTAATAGATATAAAATAATATGAAATATAACACCTCTCACAAAAATGCAATAAAGGAATGAGACAAAATAACCAATATGAAGTAACAAAATATAACTTAAGAAATTAATCTCTCTTAATTATATTACTCTCTAATGTGAATTACAATGTTGATGATGATCAAAAACTACATCTAAAACAACGTATTTATAATAATTCTAGAATGTTAATTATGGAAACATTTCCATTAAAACAATGAAGCATAAATAATCATGCCTACATTTCCTCTCTTCTTATCCTTTTATTTCTCTTCTCATTTGTTTTTCTGATGTTTCCTTCTTTCTCTCATTTTCACATTTCCTTGCTTATTATCCTCTGCACCTTTAATTCCTACAATTCTCCACCTCGTTCATAATTTGATGTAATTCAAAATTTTGAACGAACAAATTGTGGTTAGTGTATCCGGTTGCACCATTTATAAAATGGCTGTCTACGTACCCCTGGCCGGGATCAAACCAATCGTAGTTCGATTATTTATCCATGTAATATCTAACATGGGATGACCTTTAGCAATTCCAAGCAATGTTGGAACTTGCTTCCTGACACCACTTTGGTTAACATGTCTGCAGGGTTCTTATCTGTGTGCACTTTCATAAGAGAAATATCACCTTTCTCTACAATATCTCGAATAAAATGATATCTTACATCTATATGTTTTGTCCGAACATGATACACTTGATTCTTTGCTAGATGAATAACACTTTGGCTATCACAACTCAACTGTACACCTTCTTGTCGAAAGCCCAAATCATCTAGAAGACCCCTCAGCCACAATGATTCCTTTACCCCTTCTGTCATGGCCATATACTCAGCCTTTGTAGTAGATAGAGCCACTGTAGCTTGTAACATTGATCGCCAACTAACTGGAGCACCAAATATCGTGAATGCATAACCAGTAGTAGATCGTCGTCTATCTAGATCACCAGCATAATCAGAATCAACAAATCCGCTAATCTGACAGTTATCTCCACCAAAGCATAATCTGGTATCAATGGTACCTTTTAAGTACCTAAGAATCCACTTCACAGCTTCCCAGTGTATCTTTCCAGGATTCGCCATGAACCTACTAACAACACCTACCGCTTGTGAAATATCTGGGCGTGTGCAAACCATTGCATACATTAAGCTGCCTATTGCACTAGCATAAGGTACATTGTCCATGTAAGCCTTGTCTTTTGCTGTTGTGGGAGATTGTTTACTAGAAAGCCTAGAATGCGGAGCCAATGGAGTTACAACCGACTTGGCACTTTTCATACCAAACTTTTCAATAACTCGCTCAATGTATCTTTTCTGGCTTAAGAACAATTTTCGGCTTGACCTGTCTCTTCTAATCTCCATACCCAGTATTTTCTTTGCAGCACCCAAGTCTTTTGTTTCAAACTCTTTACCAAGTTGAAATTTTAATCTGTCTATCTCCACCTTGCTCTTCGAAGCAATAAGCATGTCATCCACATACAATAGAAGATAGATATAATCACCTCCATGAAGCTTACGAATGTATACACAACAATCATAATTACTTCTGGAAAAACCTTGCTTTAACATAAAGAAGTCAAATCGCCTGTACCACTGTCGAGGAGATTGTTTCAATCTATAAAGTGATTTCCTCAAGCGACAAACCTGGCTTTCTTTTCTATCAACCTTGAATCCCTCAGGTTGATACATGTAGATTTCCTCCTCCAAGTCTCCATGCAAGAACGCAGTCTTCACATCTAATTGTTCCAACTCAAGATCACCATGAGCGACAAGACTTAAAAGCACCTGTATGGATGTGTGCTTTACCACTGGAGAAAATATTTCATTATAATCTACACCTTCCTTTTGAGCATAACCCTTAGCCACTAACATGGCTTTAAACCTTGTACCACTTGACTCGGTAGGGTCTTCTTTTCTTTTATAGACCCATTTACAACCTATAGCAGTCTTCCCTACAGGCAATGGGACCACCTCCCATGTCTTGTTCTTATGAAGAGATTGCATCTCTTCTTCCATGGCAACCAACCAATTCTCACTATCCTTATCCCTGAGAGCTTGTTTGAAGGTGACAGGTTCATCATCCTCCACCGAGAGTGCATACTCTACCAAATTTAACTGCCCATAATGCCTCAGAGGTTTGTCTGACCCAAACTTCTGAACTAGTTTATAATTTCTCTTTGGCTTTGTTGATGCCAAAGAATCCTACTGCTGTTGTTGTAAAACATGTGCATTTTTCTGCTGAATCTCTTCATGATCAAGTTCATCCTCTTCCTCATATCGAGTTGCACTAGGATGCTCCACCTGAACATGACTAGAGTCTATTGGTTGGTCTTTAGACTCTATCTCCACCACTTGAGTATTTGAAGTTTCTCCAAGATCACCATCACTTGGCGTCATAGCTTTGGATAAAGCTATCATAGATCGTTCATCAAAGGTCACATCCCTGCTGATTACAAATTTAGAATCTTCTACACTCCAAAGACGATAGCCTTGAACTCCTTTTGGATACCCTAAAAAGATTGTTTTTTTAGCTCTGTCATCAAGTTTATTATCTTTGACGTGATAATAAGTCGTGCATCCAAAAAACTCTAAGTTTCCCGTAATCTGCATGTTCCCCTTACCACACTTTATAAGGTGTGTCTCCATCTAGAGAAGAGTGTGGGGATCGATTCACTATGTAACAAGCAGTAGCAACCGACTCTGCCCACCATTCTCTGCCTAACCAAGAATTAGAGCGCATACACCTTGCCTTCTCAAGTAGTGTACGATTCAGTTTTTCTGCGACTCCATTCTGTTGTGGTGTGTCTCGCACTGTCCAGTGTCTTATAATGCCCTGTTGATCACAAAACTCCTTGAAAGCACCATCTGTGTACTCTGTGCCATTATCAGATCGCAGAGTTTTCAGCTTCCTCCCTGTTCTGTTTTCAACCATTGCTCTCCACCGCTTGAAAGTGTCGAATACCTCATTCTTATGCTTGAGAAAGTAAATCCAAGCATACCTTGAATAATCATCGACAAACGTAACAAAATACCTGGAACCACCCTTGGAAGTTACTTTAGCCGGACCCCATACATCTGTATGCACATAGTCTAACAACCCTTTGCTTTTATGCTTGCTTGTGCAGAACTTCACCCTATGCGCCTTTTCGTACACACAATGTTCACAAAATTCCATTTGTGGTTTCTTCATGTTCTTCAGCAAACCTTGTCTACTAAGCAATGATAGACCTTTTTCCGACATATGCCCTAGCCGCATGTGCCATATTCTCGTGCATTCTGTGTGGTCTTTACTTCCACTAATTCCAATTGCTAAATCACCTGTAATAGTATTTCCCAAAAGAGGTTAAAGATTACCGTTACGAACTGCCTTCATCACAACCAAGGAACCACGAACAACTTTCATAACCCCGTTCTCCGCAACTATTTTGCAACCATTTTTCTCTAACAAACCTATAGAGATTAGGTTTTTTCGCAAATCTGGAATGTGTCTCACAACTTTCAAGGTTCTCACAACTCCATCATGCATCTTGATTCTAATTGTAACTAGCCCCACAGTTTTACAAGCATGATCATTGCCCATTAAAACTGTGCCCCCATTTGTGCTTTCATAAGTAGTAAACCACTTCCTATTTGGGCACATATGGTGAGAGGCTCCTGAGTCAAGCATCCACTTACCAGAGATCTCATGAGATTCTTCAGTTACAGAGTAACAATCTTCCTCGCCATTTGAGACATAACTTGCTTCTTGTTTTTCTTTTGGGTTGTTATTGTTTAGATTCTTGAATACTACCCTCTTATTTGGGCAATTTGCTTTAAAGTGTCCAGGCTCACCGCATTTAAAGCATGTCTTTTCCGCGTGAGGTCTAGATTTTGGCCTAGATTTTCCACGCTTACCTTTTCCTCTTTCATTTGTCCTTCCTCTAGTTGCAAACAATCCTTGTGCTTGATCCTTGTAATCTCTTCCACTTGAAGATGACATTACACTTGTAGCAACCTTACGTAGATCATCCGCTAAAAGTGATGCCCTCGTCTCATCCATGGTTAGAGTATCACCCACCAACATCAATGTTTGTACTAGGTTCTCGTAGGACTTTGGTAATGAAAGTAATAAAATTAATTTCTGGTCCTCATCATCAATCTTCACATCTATGTCCTTTAAGTTTGATATGATCCTATCAAACTTATTGACATAATCCCGGATTGAGGTGCCTTCCTCCATCTTGCATGTATACAATTTGGATTTTAAATAGATCCTGTTAGTTAGAGTCTTCGTCATGAAATTATTCTCTAACTTTGCCCAAACGCCTACTGCTGTTGCTTCTTCATTTACCAAGAAAGCAACATCCCTCTCAAGGCATAAGATTATAGCAGCCCGCGCCTCAAGATCTAATTCTTCCCAATCCACATCCTTCATATCAGCCGGCATTTTCTCTTTCCCTAATAATGCCCAATGCAGTTTTTGTGAAATAAGCAGATTTTTCATTTGCATCTTCCAATAGGAAAAATCATTTTTCCCATTAAATTTTTCAATTTCATATTTGCCTACTTTGACATTTCCACTAGTAGAAGCCATTTTACACTAAATTGAATTTTACCACTCAAAATTTAGACGTTGGCTCTGATACCAATTGTTAGAATTGCAGCGGAATTTGGCCTTCTAATAGATATAAAATAATATGAAATATAACACCTCTCACAAAAATGCAATAAATGAATGAGACAAAATAACCAATATGAAGTAACAAAATATAACTTAAGAAATTAATCTCTCTTAATTATATTACTCTCTAATGTGAATTACAATGTTGATGATGATCAAAAACTACATCTAAAACAACGTATTTATAATAATTCTAGAATGTTAATTATGGAAACATTTCCATTAAAACAATGAAGCATAAATAATCATGCCTAAATTTCCTCTCTTCTTATCCTTTTATTTCTCTTCTCATTTGTTTTTCTGATGTTTCCTTCTTTCTCTCATTTTCACATTTCCTTGCTTATTATCCTCTGCACCTTTAATTCCTACAATAACTAAGTTTTAGCGCGTAAAAACAGTTGTAGCAAATAGCAATATTTCGAGTTGATAAGTGTTTACGGGTGAAAGATGAAGCAATGCCTCCCACATGTTCCCTTATAACGCAACCGCAACTCCAATCCACAAGTTTACTATGACTAGTTTACTCTTTACCTACCTTAATTTTTCTCATTTACATTGGTTATAACTTACAATAATCTACCATTATAATTGTGTTGCATTATATTACCTACCTTTTAAAGACATGCCTTTATATATTAAAAAAAAAAAAAAAAAAAAAAAAAAAAAAAAAAAAAAAATTGGAATTCTTGTATTATGAGCCCAAAATTTAAATAAGAGATACCGACATCACATTACTTACCTAAAACCTTTGCATCTAAATATGTTAAGAAATAACTTGGACTATGCAATATTAAAAACATGGCTAATCTAATCATAGAATAGTTACATTTTAAGATTTAAATAATACAAAAGAGGATCATATTTTATTGGACTACCCTTTTAATTCAGAGTATTAAATAATTTTAGAATGAAATCAAACTTTGTTAGACAGGTTAAACAGTTAAGCTCTCCTATAACGCCAGCTCGTATCTATGTCCATGATAAAGGTTGATATTTTCTACTACAAATGTCATTATATGTAGGTGTCACTTGTATGAAAAGAAAAGGGTAAATGTGAAACACATTTACCAAAAAATTTCTCAACAAATTGTAAAATTTTATGCCAAGATTTTACAATAAAAATACTTGAAGTAAATCATCTAGAAGAAAGAGTATCTCCATAGTAAATTGCATCTACCAAACAACAAGATCACTAAATATACGTAACATTTATGAATTTATGATATGTATGATTCATAGTATTTGACTTCAAACAATTGATTTGGTCCAACACTTCAGTTAGGTATGTAGGAACTTGTAACAGAATATAACAACGTAACCACTAATCAAACGTTGTAAGTTTAATTAAGAGTATTAATCACATCAGAAACAAAATGTAGACTTACAAATCCAGGCCACAATTTTCCTCATAACTGATTCTAATCTACAATTTTGTTATACCAAACTTTTTAGACTTAAATTAAAAGGACAGCTATAATCTACCCTTAAATAGTCATCACACAACACCAATACAATTTCATAATACGTCTCATAAACGTGTTTTTTACTCCATATTCAGCACAGACGCTTAAACATCTAAAATCACATAAAAGTCACGATCTTACAAAGTTGACTAAAATGTCGTAAACGTTTGCGACATTCTTAATTAGAAGAAAGAGAGAGAAATACTTCCTAACTGCCATAGTTTTGGAGTTTGGTGAAAACAGTCGTTGAATAACGTAAATTAGTAAATAAAATTAAAAAGATAAAATAGCTTAACTAACCCTTAAAATTTGCCGTTAATGCAAAAAAATAAAAGTCAGTTACACCAAAAAATTTGTAACCTCCCACACCAGCAGCAAGCAGTTATAACTTCCTCATTCTCTCTCCTCAATATAAACCTCTTCTCATCCAATTTTTCTTCTTCCATAAAAAATTAATTAAGAAAAACCTCCATAAAATTTGAGAGTTTCAGGAAAATATTCTACCAATGGGAACAAAGAACGACGTCCAAAACGGCGTCGTAAAAGATCGGGTGAAGGGATCATGGACCCCACAAGAGGATGCAACGTTGAAAAAGCTAGTGGATCAACATGGGCCGAGGAATTGGACTTTGATAAGCGAAGGAATTCCAGGGAGGTCCGGTAAATCTTGTAGATTAAGGTGGTGTAATCAGCTAAGCCCAGATGTGCAACACCGGGCTTTCAGCCCAACAGAGGATGAGATTATAGTCCAGGCCCATAAGGCCCATGGTAATAGATGGGCCACAATTGCTAAGCTTCTTCCTGGGCGTACGGATAATGCGATTAAGAATCATTGGAATAGTACGCTTAGGAGGAAGCGGGACCCACAAGTGGGCACCGAGTTGAGCGAGTCGAAACGGCAGCGAGTTGAGGTGGCTGTGTCGAGTGAGTCTGACTCGGGGGTGGTTAAGAAGGAGGTGAGTTCTGGTGTGGTGTCGGAGCAGGAAGAAGATGGTGGGGTTGAGACGGTTTTGACGCTTTTGCCACCTGGGAAGGTTATGGATGTGCCACGTGGAGGAGAGAGAGAAGGGGAGGATCAGGTGAGGAAGGGTGATGATGAGGGTGAGATTAAGAAATTGATGAGATGTACAGTGGGGAGAGATGACACGTGTTTGATTAATGTGATGCAGAATATGATTGCAGCGGAGGTTAAGAGTTATATTGATCGTCTTGATCTTCAGCCCAAAAGTGGTGATGATAATGGACCTAAATCGGATTCTTCAGCCCATCATAGTAAATAATTATGGTTTTTTTTTTTTTTTTTTTATTGGGGGAGGGTTTTGCAGTTTATTTAGGGAAGAAGAGAACGTAAAGAATTTTCTGTTTCAGGGATAAGTCAATTATAAATAAGAGTTGGTAAAAAAAATGAAAATTACGAGTAGAGAATAAATTCGATGTAAATTTGTGTAATTAATATAGTAATAGTCGTAAGTCCTAACTTTGTCTGATGATCTGTTTGTCAGTAATTTACATATTTTGTTTAAACTTTGGATTTTTTTCAACTTTGGTGACACCAATTACCCCCTACATTTAACTAGCGCCAACAGGTACTCATTAGAAAAGCTATTTATACTTCATGCACAACGCTACTAACTAAAATGCAAACAAAACAACGTTTGCTACTTGATTGTGCACCAACTCTCTTATGGCAAGGTCATATGCTTGGGTTAAGGAACACTCGTGCATAGCTTTGATAGTTTTTGAACCCAAAGTGAAATTAAAGGGATAGGCAGCTGAAAAAATACAAGATATGAAGTTTTAAAGTGTTGGCACTTGATAGTATTATAGTTTTATGATGATGGGTTCATTGTAAATTCATATAGTAGTATACACTATACAGTAATGTGACTAATGACCCTTCAAGGGGAAAAAGAAGAAAGACAATTAAGAATTCTAGAAACAAGGACTCTTTTGAATTTGGAATAACCTACACCGGTAGCAAAATCAGTGAAGTCTATCGAGCAAAAGTGAAGAGATTTTAACACCAGTCACGTACAGTGTGACTTCTACACAAGCAATTCCAACTTGATCACCAAAAAAAATCATCCCCTTAAGAAAAGATGATAGAAATTTTAACAAAGAATGACATGATCATACAAATGTACTCGTCGAATCATCATCACTGGTCTACATTAGAAAACAAAAAACAGTAGCATCAAAAGAGCTCCCTATACCACTACCAAAATTACAGGTACAAATTATACGCAAGGGAAAACAATGTTTACAAGTCCCCAGCACCAGATGAGCTTCCAAATTCATCATCACTGGCTACAAATTAAAAAGGGAAAGCAATGTTTAGAAGACCCCAACAACAGATGACCTTCCAAATTCATACTACACGGCTACAAATTACACACAAGGGAAAGCAATGTTTAAAAAGACCTGAAAGAACAAGACAACCTTCCCAATTCATCATCATTCATACTAAAACCAAACCCATTCCTAATACAAAACTACTAGTATTATAAACCATTTATCACCCATAAGATTTAAGCCTAATCACATATGGCCTATGCTCCAAAATTTCCATTCGAATAACACTGGTCATCTGACCAGTCTTATACTAGTTGCCACAACTCATTTCATCCATCATCAAATAAACCATGATAATTAGTAAACAGTTTCAGATCAAGGTATCAAAATGTTCCAAACAAGTAACACAGTTTCTTCATTGTATATGCAACAATTACTATCCTAATCATTCCAGCAATTCCTACACCTATGAATTTATCTTCGTTCTTAATCTTCAAATACTTCCGCATTTATACTCTGACAACATAGATCTAACAATCATATTATTGAAATGCAAACAATATTATATTGAAATCAGTGAAGCAGAAAGATATTAAAACCAAGGAGATTAACGATAATAGGTAGAAAAAACTCAAGAGTTACATTACTCCAAAATTCATGTTTATCAAAATGTATCAATTACATGACACGAAAAAACTTAGTACCTAAATCACTTCGATTGCCATAGAAACAGCTAATCGATCGACGAACTAAGATTTAACAAAACGGAAACAAAATTAAAAACTAAAGGAGTAACCATGAAAGCTGTAGATCTTCTTCTACTTAGATCTCTGTCTCATCTTTCGGCGCTTCCTCTTCAATCTCCTCATACGCTTCTTCTTCCACTGCAAAAATCAATCAAATCAACAAGTTAAACTTCAAATTAGTTAACAATGGTGGAAAAACTCGACTGAACCGAACGAATCAATGAAATTAAGGAAGAAACTAAAGTTAATCGATTAATTAAAGAAGAAATTCAAAGTACCTTGGCCCTCATGATGAAAGGATGAAGAAAGCCGGCAACCTCAAAACCCTAATCGACGGATGTAGCAGCCGAAGAGAGAGAAAGGGAGTTACAGTAAGTAAAGGAAAGGATGAGGGTTTTGGGATAATATATAGCGAAACCCTATCGAAGTTTACAAGAGAATGTTTGGGTTTGGCCGTTTGGGCCTTATTCGTAAATTTGTTTCTGAATTACAAGTTTACTCTTCTAAATCGTTCTTTTATGTACGAAGGAAATGGGTGTGTCATGTATCCATTTGTGGACTTGTGGTGAATCCAATTATAGGTGCACCTAATAGTCAAGACTCAATGATTTATTAAAGCTTAATTTATGACTCTTGTTCATTTGAAATATATTTATAAAAATAAATAAATAAAAATTATTTGTAACACTTTATATTATAATAAGTGTGAGTTTGTAGGCTCCTGCACAAAACTATCCGAAAATCCGATAATCTGATCCACAATCAATTTGATTTTTTGGATATTTGATCCGAAAAGGCGGATATCGGATGCGGATTTGGATATTGATTTTCGAAATTTTAGATATCTGATATCCGAAATATAAAGGCTGAAATAGTGAAATATATACTTCCTCTGTTCTTTTTTACTTGACCTGTTTTTTTTATCATGTTTGTCTATGCAAAACTTTAATGATCAATAACTTTAATTCTCTATAAGTAAAATTATAAAAGTTTTATATTATGATAGTATTTACTAAGACGAATTCAAAAAGATCCCACATAAATATGTTTTTCCTTACATATTATTCACAAAAGACGGTTAAAGGAAGGGAGGTAAATTGTGTAAAAGTCAAAGCGGGTCAAGTAAAAAAGAACGGAGGAAGGATAAAATTTTTAAATTGTTCATATAAAACTGACCCTGTATTATTAACTTATTATAATATTCTTAATATATTTTATGATAATTTTTATTGCAAAAAGACTGCAATTTTGTTAAAATATGTTGTACAACTTAGCAATAAAAAAACGGTAAAATTAGTGAAATTTAGAAAGTAATCACAATCAATATTACTTAATATTGGATAATGGATATCTAAAGCATCCGATCCGAAAATTCTGGATATCCGAAATTTTCGGATCGGATTTGGATATCAGTTTCTGATATCCGAGTATTCGGATATCCGATCTAAAATGTGATTTTGGATCAGATATCCGATCCGTGAACAGGCCTACGAGTTTGTATGTAAGAGCATTCACATCAGTACAAGCATGCCTGTCATACATACTTCGTGTAACTTATGCAAATGTGAGTGATATTTAACCTCATGAATTGGCTGCTAATGTACCACCTCTTCGAGAGTTTGACCTACTGAGCAAGTAAATTTTACTTGCAGACATATGTATGAAACAACTCTGCACTCGTAACATTATGGAGTGAAAATTGTAGCTATGAAAATCAATGGCATAGTTATTTGTTTATAGTTTTAACTTTTTACATTTTAAAGTGAAAATTGTAGTTGTAAAAAGGGATAGTATAATAATTGGTTTATACGTAGTAGTTTAATTTTGTATATTGTGAAAGACAATGGCTTTTAATGTGATATAGATGTGACCAAGACTACAAGTGAAAGAATGATAACTTTTTTACTTGTGATTGGCTTTCACCTGTGTTATGAGACAATCTATCCCATTCTTACTCATAACAAAATGAGAATTTAATTCGCAATAGTTGCTAAAACACTATCAGAGAGACATCAAGCATCCCTGTTCCTTGCCATGCTCATTTTCAATTGAAAATTCAGATGGTCACTAAAACATATAGAAGCTCAACACAATATGACTTACATGAGTGGTAGATCAAGGGAATATGAACCACACCTGCAAAAAATTGGCGTGTCAAGAGTTGAGACACAATGTAAATGGCTCAATCTTTACCCCAAGCAGCCATGTCGTGCAGTCGTGCCATGAGCTGCATTCTCTAGACTAGTCAGCGCGTCCCAGCCCAACAAACTGCTGCTAGGCTCAACCTCAATGGCCTACCAGCTCAGCCCATTGCCACCCTAAGGTAAAAGGTGCTCAGATCAGGTACTACTCCGTATCTTGACAATCAAGTAGTTTTGTAGTACATGTACTTGCCAATATACACTTTACTGGAGTTTGAAATATCACTGGAAAAAACAGCATATCTAACACCTCTCGACATCTACAAACGTGATGGATTACATGGATATGCGCTAATTGGCATAAATTAGTACATTGAACTTAAATTTTCCCTTAATTGGTATGCAAAATTGATCTATCAGTGTCACTTTTCCAACAATAATGCAATTTGCAATTCTGTCACCTATTACTTCTTCATAAGCTAATATCAATAGGATCTTTGTACTAATATCTCTGTCGTAATCTCCCTGCTACAAAATCATAGCCTTCTGCATTCACATCAGCATTAGGAACACATCTATCCACATCAACTCCTAGGATATTCAAAAAAAATAACACCACCTACAATCGTGTATAATTTCAAAAATGCACCCTATTGTAACTAGAATTCAATTCAAGTTACTTATACTTTATTTTCAATTTCACATTGAACAACTTGGGTTCAAATTTCGTACCAAACTATCAATACAATTTATCCAAATGTGAAATGTCATATCATGGAGAAACTAAGGTGGATGATTTGCAAGAGGATGAAGCATTGGATCGTAACAGATGGATAAAGACTTTGATTGATTGATTGAAATGTCATATCATAAACCTTATCCAGCCGTCTGAAGTTAGTATGATACAACAACTTTTGAGTTGGGAATTAAGTGTTCCTGAGCCATAAAATTAAGTCAATTTACAAGAATCAATTCATAAATGTGACCCCTTTCCACTTATATACAAGTGGATTGTCAAGATACGGTCTTTGATCTGCAATTCAGCTTATCTATCTATCTTAGATGGGAATTTAAACAACAAAATATTAGTTGTACACCATTTTCCCATCTAATAATTCCAAATTGCCCATAACTTTTTTTTTTTTTTTTAATATATAGTGAAAATTATCCAGAACTTTCCTATTCTCAATTATGATTATGCAAAATAATAATAAATAAAATAACAGGGATAAAAAAAAAATATGATAAATAAAACATTCAATATTTATATTGAGATCCCAAAATTAGGATTACAAAGGGTTGATTTTTACAACTTAAAAGAACTGGAAAAAATTTCTGGTTCTCCATAATACACAACCAAATAATTAAGTACAGTTCTGTCGTCTAAGTGACGCGTCACACATTCAATTTATGGTACGACTGTCACACTTATTTCAATTTTACAAATTATTGAAAAAAAATATTAATTATAATGATTTAAAAAGAGAAAAATTCAACAAATCCGCTGAATCACGATTATGTGATTGTGGGGTTGTTGCATCAAAATCTTCCTCTCTAATTAACCAACTAACCCACAAAAAAAATAGAAGTGGGTAAATTTCGATTTGGTATTAAACAAATAAAAAAAAAATTAAAATAAAATTACACAGCTAATATTACCGACGGGTCAGAAGGCGGGTCGACTCGAAAAGAGAGTCGACAAAGGGGGCAACTCGACTGAGTACAAAGCCAACGATCTACACAATCCGAGTGAAATCGGTGATCACACTTAGGCAACACTTTGACTTTATCACCATCTTCAAAAACACCTAAACAAATACAACACTCCATCTCATCTTCCCTTCCAACGGATGACCGTTGGTGGAGGAGTATGGGCATGGTCTTGATGACCATCGGATCTAGGCCGTGGCATACGGCCGGGTTTGCCGACGCGTGTGATGCGTGCGCTTGTGAGTTGTGGTAGTGCGCGTGGTGGGCGTGGCGGAAACGGAAGTACCACCGCGCGTATAGTAATAGGAGCGTGACGACGAGGATGATGGAGAAGAGGATGAAGAGGTAAAAGAGGGTTTGACCGTGGATTTGGAAATTATGGTCGTCGAATTCGGAGTAATGCCAGTGGAGTAAGCGGGAGTTTTCGTCGGTTGTGAGTTGGGAGAGGTGGTTAAGGAGGCGGCGACTCGACATGGCGGCGGCGCGTGCGGTGGAGAGAGAAAGAGGGAGTAGGAGAGAGAAAGAGAGTGAGAGTTTATGTGTGCTTGGATTTTGAATTGACGAATTTGACTAAGAAGTGTTAGTTGAAGGAGAGTTTATAGTGTAGTGAGAAAAGGGAAGGGGGGTGATGTGGTGGGGGTAAAATGGGGATTGTGGCCACGTTGATGGTGGGGTAAGAAAAAATAAAATGATGTTTTTTGAAAAGGTGAGAAAAATAAAATGGGAATTATGGGAATGGGGTGTTTTTTTTAGGTGATTGTGATTTATGTGAATAGTGATTGAGTTGATTTGATTTGATTTGGGAAAAAGGAAAATATAATGGGGGATTTTTGGTTTTGGTTGTTGTTGTTTTAGCTTGTGGGTTAAGGCTTAAAGACAAAGTGATATGAGTTGGTAATAAGGAAGGGAAAGGAGAGAGCAATGTTAGTTAGGTAATGTTTTGGTTCAGATGATTGTAAAGAAGCATTTATTTTTATTAATCGATCGATTACGATGAGGTGTTTAGGTCATATGATAAAAGTATGGAAATGAGGACACTTTTTATGCATTTGCCTTAATTTATAATTAGATAGACAAGATGACAACAAAATAAAATATATTATATTGAAAATAAATCCTTATCATGAAAATTAATTCAATTAATACAATGTAAAATTCATACAAAATAGTCTTAAACTTGTTTGGTCCAATTTGGAATCAAAGCTCTTAAAAATCCTTTACCAAAAAATAAATAAAAAATAAATAAATAAATAAATAAATAAAAAAACAACAACATGCATCTTGTAGATTTGTACTCTTGTTTGCAGTTTGGCATCCCATGTCAGCATTTTCTCTTTCAAGTGTCTCACTTAGCTTCTTAGTTAGGCTAGAATGGTGGCCAAAGACAAAGCTTAATTGGGACCCTTTTGCGATTTTTGTTTAAAATATCGTATACTAGGCCCAATTGAAATACATTGTACATAATTAATTAGCAACCATGACCATTCTCTGTGTTAAATAAACTCCTCAAATTTGCATAATTAGTTCTATCACATCAGATGTCTTTGAAGAAACATCTCACATAAAACTTGCTATATGTCCATAAATACGAAATAATTTGGTTCATTTTTAATTGGATTGGTGTGTTCTATTTACTTAATTTTACTTATCTGAACATATCTGGAAGAACTTACCTGATCTTATTAAAACTTATCTTACCTGTTATTTGAACTTGGGCAACTCTTATCAGACCTTATATTTTTTTGAACTTAACTTGTCTGATCTGAACTTATTAGACCTGAAATAAGTGAAAATAAGGTGAACAGTACACGCCCTAAGATTGTTTCATTTCCTTTGACTAATTCTTTTACTTCCTCCATTTTTTTTATTATTGGACCATATAGGTTGGGCACAATAATTTTTGTAGTGGAAAAAGTAAAAGAGAAAGTAAAAACAAATTTGTCCATGTGATGTAACCATAAACTAAAGAATAAGTGTGAAAAAAGTAAGGATATTTTGGGTATTTACAGTGTGAACGGAATAAACTAAAGGAATGAGTGTGAAAAAGTAAAGATATAATGGGTATTTACAGTGTAAACAGAGAATTTTTTTTTATCCTAAAATAAAAATGATGTAATATTTGTGAAACTTTTTTAAAAGACTAGTGGTGCAATACTAAAAGAATGAAGGAAGTATAATACTATATATCAAAAAAAGAAAGATCAATGTCCCCACTTTCTCTCGTCTAAAAAAATCACCTTTTTTTTTATTCTTTTTATAATGTATGGTTGGTTTGTCACAAATTCTTATATGTGGCTAGCCACACCGTGTGGCAAGCCAATATGTTATATGGGGGTTACTTCGTTAGTGTAATAAGGGTTAATTGGTCAATGTTAAAGGGTTACTCGGTCAGTGTTATAGGGATTAGTCGGTCAGTGTTACAGGGGTTACTCGATCAACATTATAGGGGTTACTTTGTTCTTTTATAAGTGGGCACACGGTGTGGCCAGACACACACGAGACGGACTGATTGTTAGTTTGCTAGTCTAATTTTGCAAAGTTTGATCGTATGTTTTTTTTTATTGATGTAAAATTAAATATTACTATACTATAGTATAAGTTGAATTTGAATCATTTTAAACATATTTTTTCTAAGGCCAAATGTTCATGGTGAGACTTTGAAAAAAAAAATGCTGCAGTAATAAAGAGAATTAGACATTAAGAGCTAGAGTGATAAACAAGTTTCAATGTACAATTAATTGAACAATACATACAATACTTTTTCGTGCATATAACTTTAGAGTAAATGGTCGAGCAAAAATTGAGTGAGTTTGTAATTCCGGTAGTACCATGCAAGCTAATTTGGTGATAAACAACTTCTAATACTTTATATTTTATTTACGGAAATAGGTATATACTATTTTTTTTTTTTTTTGGGGTGAAAATAGACTGAAATTAGTATTGACAAGAAGAGAAAAGAATGATACTAAAGATTTTTTTTTTAAAAAAAAAAAAACCTCAATGTCCATAACTTCATAAAGAGAATAGAATGGTCGAATAAGACTATAAAAGAGGGTGTATAGGCAATGGTCCATGAGTCAAATAATGATAGGACAATAAGCAATATATATGTGTCTTGGACGTTTCATTGCATCAATGACGATCTTTTTTATTTTTGTTATTTGCTTTAATATACTTTTGTTGTCACTTTGCTATTTGTAATTTTCCAGGACTATAATTAGCCTTTTTTTCATTTAAATAATAATAATAATAATAATAATAATAATAATAATAATAATAATAATAATAAAATTACTGTCATAGAATAATTCTTGTATTAACTCGAGAATAATGGATTTAAGTTAAGGGCTATGTATGAGCACTTCATCACTCTTAAGTGAAAGTGAATATGAAACCTACAATATAAGGTTTGAAGTAGTATTTAAGATAACATAATTTAGGTTTAATAATAAAATTAAGCTTGAAATTTAATTAGAACATTATAATAAAAAGTTTAAGTACTACAACACCAACCTACTAAATCAGATAATTTTGAAATCAAAATTAAAATACTATGTAAGTGAATTAGATAGGAGCCACACAATTATATTTGACTTGTTTCAACTGATTAAAAAAATCTAACAACACAAGTACCACCATGCCTATTTTCTACTCTCACTGTTTTTCAAATTCACTTATTGTACTAACTTGATCGATCTCAAAGTATACGTTATAACCTCGATCTGTGCATGACTTTAGCTTACCCCTAATTCCAATAACCAATTATACTTATACTACCAAAACCATGATTTCTCTTTTTATTCTCTGATAAACATAATGAAAATAATTGGAAATTGTATGTCAGTTGTTATTGTCCAGTACATTTTCATTGAGGTAAAACCAATTGACAATCCAATGAGCTTTAAAATTTGAAATAAGGTGGATGACTGGATGTGACTTTCAACATGACTCGATTAACTACATGATCACTGTTGCCATAATCTTAATTAATTGACAAAGTCATTATCCTTTACAGTACGAGTAGTAATTAAAAACAATTCTCCAATCATTCCAATGTAAAACAAACTACATGTGCACAACACATTTGCATATCAACCAACAATTTCCAAGGTTGATTTCCCTTAAATGAACCCACGGTTCTTGAAGTCTTGCATAGTTTATTTATTAAGCCTTAAAACTTTGGTAGATATTTATATATAATCACCATCACACAACATGAAAAAACAAAAAAAAAAAAAAAAAGGTTACCCAAATGGACCCATCTTGAACAAGATATATATAGTTCATCCATGCATGTGATGAAACTTTTCTAAGGCTGCATGCATGTTAAGGAAATTTAAATTGATAATGGATGATGGAAGCATTCTTGATAAAATCCCAACATGCATCCTACTAGCTAGGCTACTATCAACTCTTCAATTCTTCATGTGCTAAGGGTTTTTGAAAAGACTATTTAGTCATGGTTGTTGATGAAGGCCTCTTGTTATGAAAGGAGTCCTAGCTTGGTCACTCGGATACACCAAATTCGGACTTAAGGTCTGAATTCAAATCTCATTAGCTGGCTGAATTTGTAAAAATACTCACGTCCCCCACAATGGGTCCTTCACTTTATTACTAAAAGAGCCACCCTTGACTCTCGCGACTAACTTTTTTGAACCTATCCACAAATACATGTATATAGTTATAAACTTTGGGAGAAGTTTGTAGACTTTGGAAGAAAAATACATCTCTTAACATTGACAAGACGAGCCTTAAGAAATATTCGTAACCCTTTATATAATGCTTTAATTTGAGAATCCATAGTGACAATTGATTCATCTTTTGTACTACTACTACAAGCAATGCATAGTAGCAATAGGTCGACAATACAAAAAAAAAAAAAACTAAAACAAAAAAGTGATAACTACATAAAGTTTTGAAGACAGCATAAGAGTAGTGGAATTAACTAGACATTTATTTGTTGCCTTCTTTTTTGACTAAAAAGACATAAACCAAACTGAATGGGAAAATATGTATTATTGGGTTGGAGAACACGTCGAATGTGGGGCTTAAAAAGAATAGTTCGTTGATGGTGCTTTCTATGACAACATTTATTTTGGAAGGGAAAATTAAAATAATGGTTAACTTATAGGTTAAGGAGCGAGGGTCATGTATGTATTAATTTATTGAAAATGATATAGGCCAAGTATGAAATGTTATAATAAGATGTTGTAAGTGGTGCGACAAGGATTAATGAAGAAAGAAACAATATAGAGCACACATAATCTTCGTGGTTCACAATCCAAATTAAAGGCATGCGAGAGAAAGTTAATAATCTTGACAAAATACATATAATAAGGGCTTAGCATGTTTGTTTTATCATATTTAAACTTATTTTCATTATTTATTTTAGGAAAAATAAGTTTAGAAAATTAATTTTTACCACTAATAAAAAACTCCATATAAAATAAGTTTAAAAAAATAACTTTTTCTCAAAAAATATCACACATAATTTCAGATAATTTAAGTTAAAACTTAGGAAAGTAGTTACTACAAAATACTTCGTATAATACTTCTAAAACCATTTAACAAAAGAGAGATAGGTCCCAACAATAGGCCCAAGCAGAAAATTGCATGTACATAGTAACCCAACATACCATGTATTAGTACTATATATTAATATCGGAGACAATTATTGCCAAAAAAAATATTGTAGACAACAATATGATAGGTTTTTTCGTGTGAGACAAATCAATTTAAGACATATTCTAATCGGAAGAAACAATAAAATTTAACTAAATATTGAGTTGAGCATGAAATCGTCATTAATCACATTAATACAGTGAGTATTATTATTAAAATCATATGTAATGCTTTACTTAGATTTCAGGGTAGTTGATTTCGATATTTATTTATTGATCAAAAAGACAAAAAGCAAAAAAAGTAGAAAAAATATAAATTATTTTTATTGTCTTCTTGTTAGTAAGATGATCTGGAAAGGTTGAAAATCTACGTGGTTTTATAATGCTTTATTTAAAAATTAGACAATTTAGGAAAGACACGAGTCAGTGTGTTATATGCAAAGGCACCTTATGGCTTCGACCTAAGATTGCTTTTGTCACATGATTTTGCTTGCGTTAAGGAAGACAATTGTGCTATACTTGCATTATATCTAACTAACCAACCTAGTTGACGCTCTAATTCAGGCTATTCTATCTATAATTGAGGTTAGTTATTAGGGACTACTTAGACAGTTAAACCTTTACTAGATTAATTATAGCTTATATACTTTAATTATGCTCTCCATTTTGTATGTTTTATAAAATGATTTGGACATTAAATGTACTCCTTTGAATTTCATATCTTGATAAATAATTGAGCTAGTGTAACACAAATTTTGATCAATATATTTAATATTAATATACAAAGCATTCAATATTTGCAATATTTTAACTTAATTTTGCTATTTTCAAATACTTGTATTTATCCGACTTTCACGCTACCAAGTGCATCATTGCTTTGTAAATCATATATAATTTCAGTACAAGGATAGAATATACTTTCTACGTCCCTACAAAAATGATCCTTTTGGCTAAATTTTAGTCCCAAAATATTCATCCCATTTAAATTAAAATACTATCCAATTTACAATAATTTTAGTCCCAAAATATTCATCCCATTTATATTAAAATACCATCCAATTTTCAATAATATTTGTGCAAAATTAGCTTTCCCATGTAAATTTTGTTTTTTCCATATACTTTTATTACTTTATCTTTCCACTCTTTTGCAAATCTCATGCAAATTTACCTTTTCAATGTACTTTTATTAGCTTTCCCATACACTTATATTTCCCATTTAAGTTTCTTAATACCTGTGAAAACTCCCCAAAAGAGTCGTTCTTTTAGGGATGGAGGGAGTATTTTTTGTATGGATATTTTGATAAAAAAATATATTTCTTAAATGAGATTGATAATACGGAGTATATATACTAAGACTAATACAACAACTATTAAAGCAATGTAATTAAAAATTTTCATATTACGAGTAGAATTAAAAGTATGTTTTCAAAGTTAATATATGTATGTATAATGCAAATACTGAAATGTTATTATGGAGTACATGTATTATTGTATTACTTCGTACTTGTAGTAACTAACTAATTTAAAGTACATTGTATCAATTTGGCATAAAGTACCCAAATCTTAATCAACCTTTTATATTCCGTATAAAAATGCAAAACCACCATTCCAAGTTTAAAGTGTTTAAAATTATCAAATTTTAGTCCTTCCTTTTTGTAATCATAAGATAGATTTAGTTGGGAAATAAAATATATTATGCTTACTAAAACATTCAAACTTTTGAAAGAAAAAAAAAAAAAGAAAAAAAAGTTGTAGAAAGTGAAACATACTAGGAAAATGTGCTTTATTACTTTAGCATAGACCAAATGAAATCAGCTTGATCTTTATCCATACCAGGCGAAGGTTCAATTATGTTCGTTAATTCCATGTGATGATTTGAAGCCATGAAGATTTAGGTACCTATAAAAGGGTTAATTACTGGTTTAGGAAAAGCAAAGGATAAATGCATATAAAATAAGTAAACTTATAAGCATGCTAGTATCACAAAACTTTTCATTTTTTTTTTGTTCTTTTCTTTATTTATTTAGTTATTTATATTTTCTGTATTCTCTCTTTATCTCTAAATGATATTTATACAAGTTAAAATATCATAATTATCCCTTTTTGTTTAATTTAATTTTTGTTTTTAAAAAATTGTACTTGGATTTTACGCATCATTATGAATTAGACAATTAATTACCATGTCAAAAAGTAATATTTCCTTGATTTTTTTTTTTTCCTTTTTTTGGGGTCTTGTCTCTCTCAATACACCTAGTTCTTAGATCAAAAAGCCAATTTAGACAACTTAGTAATCCTCAATTCCTCACAAAAAAGCCAGTTTAGTCTTGAATCTTAAATACGAAATAGAGAAATTTGATGTATTATTTTAATCAAAGGTTATTATGAGTTTACAATTTGCTCACAAGTGCAATAATAAAAAGGTTTGAATTTCAATTACCATATTCTAAAACATTCATGGCTCGGAAACTATTTAATCAGTATATTAATATATAGCACATTGATAACCTGAATTATATTTTTTTAACAAAATGTATTGTAAAACAATAAAAATAGCGAAGTACTGCTAAAGATATTATTAATTAAAATATTTCTTTTACGCATGTGCTGGTGAAACTAATAAGATACTTCGGTGAAATATTTTAATCAATAATATCTTTAATTATTTATAAATTATGAAAAGTTGAATTAAAAATAGATTGATGGAGAAAGTTTTAGTGGAGGACCTTATATCACATAATATAAGTTGAAAGAGTGGCCTGTGTGAAAAAAAAAAGGTAGTAATAGGTACTGCACTTCTACATAAAGAGTAGTCTATGGGTTGCATGATTTGGGTCACAAAAAATTTTCCATTTAAGATAACATGACAAATATTTGAAGACTAACCAAAAGTGTATATATAACACAATTATATGAGGACGACTAAGGTAGTATTATTTACTTACCCTAGTGGAATTGTTTACTCGATTAACCTAAAAAGCAAGAGCTTCATAGGATGTTAAAGCAATTTACACTAATAAGTTCAAAGCAAATGAACCAAATTAATTAAACAACACCTCTAATAGCTATAAAATTAATAAAATTTAATTATTGTTACACGAAAAGAAATAGATAGGGTACGGTGTCGATCTTATATCCACTTATCCAGGTATATAATTTGACAACCTAGGAAGCTATCTTATCCTCGCGTAAGAAGCATGAAGGACATTATTAGGAGTTTAGGACAATGAAGGTAAAGTTACACAACAGCCTAGTACGCTGTCGATCTTCTCGTTGTGTAAGAAGGATAATGAGGAGAAACACCCGAGTGTAGAATGAAAATTGTAAAGAAAGATCGAAATTGAGCATAAATAACTTAACTATGCCTTGGATATACCGAGTACATACATAAACGATGTCGGTCTATGTTTAAATTATCATCAATTTGATAAGCTCATTTTAAATGTATATATCTAGTGTTGATACAGAATTCAATCAAAAACTAGCTTTATGTGTCTACTAAGTTTTATTCATCGATTTGATTCCATTCAGAATATTTTATGTACATTAGCTAAGTTCAACCACAATCATATACAAAAACCAGTCCAAATTAACATTATTATTGTAGATGCAGAGAAATAAAATTAAATAAATGGAATAATATTGGATTCCCAATTTTCCCATTTACAAAATAAAGGCAAGAAAACAAAAATTCGGTGTAGTGAAAGGATGATTCACCAATATATTGATAAATATAAATCCAAAAAAACAAAAAAAATATTCATTAAATATCTTATTCAACAAAATCCTGCTTCCTTCTTTGAGACCAACGATTCCCAACTCAAAACCCTAACCCTAATTTCCCTTTCTTGGTAATTTCAGCAATGAATACCAAGAACTAGAATAGAAAAATAATAAAAATATATATTAATAATACGGAGTAATAGTAATAATACTCCTAATAATAATAATAATAATAATAATATGTATAAACAAAACCAACAAAAATATTACTTCTAATTGTACTAGTCTAATCTAATACTATACCTTAGGCAAATACAAAATATTGTTTAAAAATAAAACCATATAACTGAAAGATCAATAAATATAATGAGATAATTGCAATTAAATGGTCATTAATTGCAATTCTCAATATAATTAACCAACTTCCTTTGGGAATTCAAAATTTTAGTTTTAGGGACATGGTGCAATTCAATTTGCATGTTGATTTTTTTTTTTCCCTTCTTTTTTTGACCATAATTCTTGAAAAAATCCCACCAAATTCCCAAGTAATTAATTAATTAATGAAGACCTTAATTAATTATGCTTACCTTGTAGAGAGATTAGATGCATGCAAAATGAAACACCAAATTTAATTAATCAATTAAATTTGATGATGTTCATTATCAGAGAAGAACAAGAAAGGATCAGTACCATAATCCCAAAGACTGCTTGTACTATGATGCATTTGATACTCCTCTAATTCCCCAGCTAATGGCGTCGGCCAAGTTAACGGTGACCCGGGTAATAAGTTAATCAGACCCGGATCCGAATGCCCTATTACTTGTGACCCTAATGATAAACTTGAATCAACCGACCCAACCAACGAGCTGATCTCGTCACAAAAACTCCTATGATGATAATCTTGAGTACAATACCCATTATTATGACTTTGCTGTTGTTGCAGAAGGATTTGATCCTGTGTTTGCCGATCCACTTCATCTTCCTGCACCCGAACCTGTTGATGGGTCGGATCAGGATCCACCTCATAACTATTAGTAGTTGTTTTACTACTACTAGTATTATTATTAATCAAGGTAATACTGCTATTGGTTTGGATATTATTATGATTATTTTCGACAAGGGGTTGTAAGAAGGGTGATGAGGTAGTAGTGGTGGTGGACGTAGCAGCGGCCCACTGGACCGGCCCATGAACAATATTCGGACAATACGGATACTGCAAAACTGAAGCGGACGAAGAGGTCAACCCGGACCCGGCCCCAAACCCGGCATAAGGAAACGTGGAGAACGTAAACCCGAACCCATTAGCAGGCTTAGGGAGGATGGGTCGCAGAGTATGAGTGGTTCCGGAAGAAGACGACGACGATCCACGAGATGACGAGGAATTGGTAGTGGGTCCCCCGTTAGGAGGAGGAGGAGGAGGAGGAGAAGGTTGTAGATTGAGTTGAGCCCTAGAACCGTAGAGAATAATAGCAGCGCGGTCGTAAGCACGGGCAGCATCTTCAGCAGTAGCGAAAGTACCCAACCATTTCCGTGTACGTTTACGAGGTTCACGGATCTCGGCTACCCACTTCCCCCAGCTCCGCTGCCTAACGCCTCGGTAGCGGAACTTGTTGTTGTCGGGGCCGCCCTTGCCGCGGCCCCGCTTGTTGGAGGTAGTGGCAGCAGTAGATGGAGAGATGGAAACGTTGTTGTTGCAAGTGGTGGAGGAGGAGGAAGAGGAGTTGTTGCTAGTAGGAGAGTCGAGAGAAGAGGGTTGCTGTTGAAGAATGAGTTGTTGCTGAGGTTTGATGATCATCTGATGTTGTTGCATGGTAAAGTAATTGAGAGTGCCTCGGAGGGTGGAGTGCAGAGGGAGAGGTGGGTTGCAAAGTGGTGAAGAAGGGAGGTGCTGAGGAGGGTGAAAATCAGAAGCGTGGATGGGGTGTAAATGGTGGGAATAGGCGGTGTAGATGCTTTTTTGATTTTTCGGGTTTTGTTTTTAAATTCAATTATACAGAGATAGATTGTATTTATTTTATATATAATATATATTCATATATTTTCTCTGTTTTAATAATGTATACAAAAAAAAAATTAATAATAATACTCTCTCCGTCCTGTAATATAAAGTCTCATTTTCTTTTTGGGTAAACCAAAATACAATGTCTCTTTCTATTTAAAAGTTGTACTTTTTGACATTATTACCTTTTTTTTTTTTATGAGTTGTTATTTTTTTCCATTATTTTTTTGTACTTTTAACATCAATTTTCAATACTTTCTCTCTCTATTTCTTCAATTATTCACCTTTAATCATTAGTTTTAAAGAATTTACAACTTTCTTAATTCCAACGTTAAAACCAAAAGAGGCTTTGTAGGGGACGGAGGAAGTATTATAACAGTTGGAGTATTGCACTATTCATCACTCTTGTTTGATCATTTAATATGATTTATACATAAAATAAAATATAGTCATGTGAGATCTCGTTAGATTAGTCTCATAATATCAGATTTTTATAATTTTTACTCTCATATACTTATAGATATTTAAAATATAAAATATGATTTGGGATATATAATTTTCGTCTTATTACAATATTATTGGAACAGGAGGAACCCTTGAATACTTGAATTGAATTGAATTATGTGGCGTATGAGTCTGTGTATTTGTATTGAGTATTGACATATTGTAAAGGGTGCATGAAAGATGAGAGAGGAGAGAGGAAGTTATTGCAGTGTCAAAGAAGTAATGGAAACAGGCCTCAGATGAAGCTCATTAGTCATTGGGTTTGAGGGCTACCTTTTTTTTCTTTCAATTTAGACTTCTGTTTCCAATGCTTTTTTTCTTTTTTAAGGAATTTTTTTGTTACTTTGTTTTGGGAATTTAATACTCGTGTATCATACTACGAGTGTAGTAGTAGTAATTATTTTGATTGGTTTTTGGTTAAAACCAGAGATTTTATTTGTTATTCAAAGTGTTGAAACTGTTGTTTATAGGGTTTGGTTAATCTGATTTGAGTTAATTTAAACCCTAATTGGAAAAGACAGAAAATTAAAGTCCGATCCTAGCTAATTTGGAAAGAAGCTAAGCTCTCCCTATGTACAGAGTCTCCTTAAAAAAATGTTGCATTATGTCTTGATATTTAGCACGAACCATCAAGTTTAAGGTAATTAATGGTTTTGTAAGATTATGCACACAAGTTAAGTTCTATGTATTTATAGTACTCCTTAGTTTTGCATTGCTATTAGAATATTAGAATAACTGGCATCTATACTTAATAAAAATTAGTTTGAATGAACTTCTTCAGGACACGTAATCAAATAACTAAGGTAACTTTGTTGACATGAAATAACTATAGTAGCTTATATCTTGAAATTATTTGGTGTTAAATAATTAGTAATATTTAGTGTTTCTGTTGTTTTGATTGTAATATAGTTCTTTGTAGCACGACCTCTACCATCGCCATTAGCCATTAGCCATTAGGCTCGATATGATTCTTTGTAGCACGACCTCTACCATCGCAACCACCACATTCAGGTAGTACGTTAAGTCGTTAACTGTACCACCTACAGCATGGTACTATTGAATAAATCTTGTGTATTATGTGGAATTAAAAACTACCTAGGAAATGAGATCGATCTCATCATCATCACTGTACTAATTTAAGGTTAAGTTGATTTCATCTTAATAAATAATAGAACTTTCACAGGATTAGACACATGAGTACTCTGAACATTAATAACAGTTTACAAGTGGGCTGATTGAAAGCAAATGTATCAAGTGGCATATATAGTTTACATCGTACGTGATAAATTTGTCAAGAAGACAGTGAACGGATAATATTACCAGCAATATCAATCATCTCATCTATATTTCATCACTACTTGTCATACCTTATTGTGTGTAAAATGCTATGTTATCAGGCGGCAAAGTCAGAATTTCACGGATTTGGTACGAGGACGAACTATATAGTCTTTTGATTTCTTTTTGTACTTTCACCGCGACATGCTTTATCATCCGACATAGTTTGATTAGATACACTTACGAACATATAGACCATTAAAATATACATTAGTAGAAATTATAAAAAGTTGTTTTATGAACATATGAAGTATAAACTAATTTAGCAACATTTTGCAGGATAACATTTGTTATTTTATTTTATACTAGGTTAACATCCCGTGCAATGCACGATTGTTAAATATTTTTGACAAAAATAATATTACAAAATATAAAGTATATAAAAGATATTCAGAAATATTTCATTTGGATATATATGGAATATGATTGTCAAAATGGAAAGAAAATATCTTAAGTTATAAATAGTTTATTTTATTTTATTTTATTTTTTTTAAAAAAAGAGAGAGAAGCGAAAAAGGTAGGAAATTTTTTTACAAGGTATTGACAAGTGTCATGAAAGGATTTGTTTTTAATATAGGTTAATAGATATGTATATATAAACACACTATACACTATCAAAGCTAAATAAATAATGTGAAAAAGAGAGAGCAAGTATCAAAAAAGGAAGTTTTTTTTTTTTTTTTTTGAAACATCCCAAAGTACATATATATTGTCGCGATTTAAGTGATCGAAGAGTACTTTAACTAAAAGTGTTACATGATTCAAAATTAAATACGGAGTAATAATGAAGGTGGAGGCCGATTAATGTTAGTCCAAATTCAAATTATGTCATTATCATTATTCCTTGTAATCCTTGCAACCTACCAAAAACTACATAGTACTTTGTAGTAGCTAGATTAACTAACAATATGCAGAGAATCTTCTCATATCCCAATCTCCATTAGAGAAAATGACGATTGACAAAACTACGAATAGGTAGCTTAGTTAATTAGAAGCTCTAACTCAAATGGTTAATTAACACCGCTTAGCTTCCAAGTTCCAACTTGAATTATCGTCACAAGTCACAAGAATAATATTAGTAGAACTCAAAATAAAATAAACCCATAAATACTAACAAGATAAATAGAGAGAGAGTTGAAATAATAATGTACTCCGTAGTGTAGAATGGATAAATTAAGGTGGTCCAAAAAAAGGCATGTGGTAGCCAGGCAGAGCCTCGTAACTCGGAAAGGGGACAAGAGAAAGAGAAATTAAAGAGAAGAAGATGAATACCATATTGTTTACACCACACAAATTATAAGATTTGTTTCAAAGGATAAGGCATCTTTTATTGCTTCCTAATAAAATCATAAGCACGCAGTCGCATTTGACAAATTAAATATCTGAAACCACCAGTAGCCCACCTTTTTCCATTTTTACAATTGTTTTCAATGTTCATGAAATAAGTTATACACACCCGGTCGAGTATATTATGCACCCAACTAGCCCAAAATTAGTTTTTGTTGTTCAATTGATAATTAATGAAAAATAATTATTAAAATGAGAACAAAATGCTCATAGGTCTACTTGCGTATACCTAAATGTATATAACAATCATATTCATGCATTCACGTATAGTATTTGTTGTATGCATGGTCAATCTCCAAGTTGTTTGTCAACTAATTTGCACATTGAAGAGGATATTTTATTTCTCTGGATTGGATATGTGCATTACTATTTCTGTTCAAGTCCACAAAAGCTACCCATGCTGATGATTTATAGAAGTTAACACACGCTGATCATTTTTAATTTACACACGTTAATTCAATTATATACCACTATGTATGTACATACACAACATACACCAAATAAAACTAATACTGTGATCAATTTGTGACAATCATTATTTGGGATATAGGCAACTTCTTTCATTCACTTAACATGTTACGTGATAAATTTTAAATACTCCTTTTCAACTCAACATATTTGCAATCAAAGACTTGCTTTGATATGCGTAAATGATACTAACATTATGAAACAGGGAGAGTATCTTTTATATATTACCCTTCTCTATCATCTGCGTTATCAATTAAATTCAAGGTGAAATTGATGCCAAATTACTAATTTAGCTTAATCAGCATTTGTACTAGTTAAACTTCCACTTATACAATACTCTGAGTCTCTGAATTCCTTAACTTGGTTCTATGCGAATTGCGATGAAATATAATTGTTCTTAGTAGGCGTCACTTGTGCCACAATTTGTATGGATTATTTTATAGTGTTGGAAGCAAGTAGCCCATGAACAATCATACATAACTTAGAAATTTAGAATACATGCATGCTAAACACAGGATTTTGACGATCAAACGATTGGAAAAGAATACAAAGGTTTTATTAGGTGAAATAATCACAATTTCACATGGGATAACCAACAACTATTATGGGAATTGAATGGAACAATGCATTTACTATTGTTGAAAAAATTATTCAGGATCAACAAAATCTTTTTATTCCATAAACTTATAATAATGTGGGTGTTATTTCATATTTTCGTCAAAATACCTTATTTTATACTCATATGTAAAGGGTAAGGTAGCTTTATGTCTTTATGCTTCCTTAACTTCACAATCATATTCCAATAAATTAAACTTGCTCAAATTATAAGCTTTGTTTGATTTGGAGATATTTTTAAGGGGTCTATGGTCTACCTTACCTTTACATATGAGTAAATAATGCGATATTTCATTTGATATCCTTGCGATTTGTTTTAGCAAATGGTTTAAAAAATGTACCAAAATTTACATGGGATTTGTACAATAATATATAAGAAAACATTGTTAATTGGTTTTGGATTATGTTAGATCAGTCTTAAGTCGGACCCTTGATAATTATAGAAGTTTAAAGAGAGATGCGGTAAATATTGAAGTAATCCCAAAGAAGATGAAAGGATACTAAAAATTTATAGTCTTCCCAAAACTAATTTGGACAGATGAAAAGAGAAAATGTAAATAAGAAAAATCAATGATTTCGTATGGAATATGGATTATTTTGATGACAGATAAGGTCTATTTTTAATAATAGGAACTAGCAAGGTTTTGCGAAACAATGTGAAGAGTGATAAAAAAAGATATATGCATGTAAATTACCCAAAAATGTATCCTTAACTTGAGATAAGAATATTTTTTAAAAAAATATCTTTATATGAAATAGTTGTAGTCTTGATTCTTGAGAGAATATGACTAAATTATGTAATCTTCTCTGTTGCAAACCCCATAACCAAACAAACTTGTTAACTTTACAATTAACTATCAGTATCATTTCTATTAGCACGAGTACATTTTAACTTGAATAATAATATAAAATTAAATTAAACTGAAGATGGACTGGGTTAAAGGTTAATGAGCTTTTGGTGTTTATTGTGGGTTCCTTAGTAATTGAGTTTATTGGGCCAAATAAAGTGCATGCAGTCTGCTTATTGTATTACTTATTTTACCGTCTATTCAAGCTGGACTCGGCCCTTCTAATTGATATGGGCTAACAAGGCCTTCTGAAGTTAGTATTCCTTTATAATTGATTAGTTTCCTCACCCACAATTCCACAAATGACTTGAAGAGTGTAGGTTTTTTAGTTGAAAAAGAAAACGAGAGATAGAGAAAGAGAGAGTTAGGATGTGTTTATAAGGCAAAAGCTAACGAACACGTTAAGATGACTAATTAAGATGATTGCATTGGAGTAAAATTAACATGCATAACATGAAATTGTGAGCATAATAGGTAATAAAATGCTAAGAGTGCTCTTGTGACACCAAGGTTATATGCTTGTCCGCTCATTATATAATACTTTTTCTTTATAAATTTTCATTAACACTCAATATCGCTTCAAAGTTTGAAATGAATTTTATGAAAACATGCATATGTTTTAGCCTTTTGAGTAGGAGACTAGAAGTTGTACAAACATGGTCATAAATTTACACGGGATTTTCGTTTCCAAAATTAAATATAAACTCATTAATTAATACGGAGTAATATCAACATATAGAACCATCTAACGAACGAACCACGTTATAAGCATTTATCACAAATTCTCATTTGATTTTCTTTGCACTAATACTTTTTTTATTCTTTTCCGTACCAATTTTTGTGTGGGTTGTTTAATGGAAAAGCATAGTGGTTGACCCACAATCATAATTTCACGATTGGACATAAACTTATCACTTAATCCATAAAATCTAATTATAAAGATTCAGCTGAGATTTTATTCTTCTCTAGTTGTCTTTATGCACCCAAATATACCAATCCAAATTAAACGAAGACTCTGGAAGCAAAATGATTCAATGATCAAAATTTCAAAATATCTTGTGCAATCATATTCTAATGAAAACAATGGATACTGGCATTTGATCAATATTCCACATGATAATTTTATCAACCATATTTAAATGGTCTAATTATATATTATAGTTCCAGCTTGCCTTAACGTTTGAGTGGTATTTTACTATTTGACTTAACTTTAAATTATTTTGTGCACCAACAAAAAAAAAAAAAAAAAAAAAAAAAGATATATATATATATATATTTAGTAATCAATAGGAAAAGTAATAAGAAAATTCAATTTTTTTTACAGGTGATAAACTACTCAAGGAATCAACAGGAAAAATAACAAGAAACATCAATTTTTTTTTTTATGAGTGATAAACATAATTCCCAACATTGATCCAGCTCGAATGACACTAACTTAGTTAGGTGATGATTTTCCTTCCTTTTACACTTGAAGTTAACAACAAAAACCTACTTAAACAAATTGATTACATTTACGACATAAATTCATATTTTATCGTTTTTCTGGCACAACGGATCTAAATGTAGCATTTTTTGGGCTTTACCTTGGTCTTGGACTTGTGATGGGTGGGCTGGAAGCCTGGAATGCTGGATTTACGGGCATTTTTATCTGTTTCTTAAAAAAGTAAAATTTTAAAAAGAAAAAAAAAATTGTGTCAAATGTTGGGTGTTCAAGCTTTGCTGTGACTTTTTGACAATTAAAATCGTGTTTCACAAACTTGTACGATTTTTGAAGCGTTTGTCGCATTTATGAATTATGATCACCTAAGTGTAATATTTGAACCATTTAGAATAATTAAGAGGAAAAATTAATTTGCTTAGCTATTTCAAGCAAGCAGTCAAAGCACGAGGACAACTAATGTTAATATAACCTGACATCGGAGACATGGTAGAGAATTATGGGCTATGCATGGACACATATTTTCGAAACTTGTCACAACCTTAGTGCGAGCATGATGAGTTAATCCTCTTGTCAATCCACTTATTATGATCTAGATTTGGTCCGTGACCGAGCCATGTCTTAGTAGGATCGACACATCATAGTTTTTTCTTTACTCATTTCTTATACGGTCCCTAAACCATGACACATCGACAGACACAACACATAACCTTGCCCGATCCGATCCGAATCCATGTGTAAGGACAACCATTACTTTTTGTACAATATGGGACAAGTGCTTTAGCAGCTGAGCCGTCCATGCACATATCACTTGCATGTTTTTAATGCACCGGCACTTAGCACTACCGATTGATCAACCAAATATGCTAAAAGTATCATGACTTTTTCCCATTGTTTTAATATAGTACATGATTTTGACTAGTTGCATCTTTTTCTTTCTGATTTAATTAGGTTGTATGGATTTCAAGGTAAGCATTTCTTTAATTGCCCACAATAGAAAGCTTTGCATTGTTATTTATATCTAAATCTCAAATAAATCATAGATTAATTTCGTCTTTCCCTAGATAATGACAAAATTTACAAGACAACATGCTCAATTGGCCATTACTACACCATAATCTCACACTTGGATAATCAAATAATTAATCATTAGGATCAAATTGTAAACTCAACAAGTTAGGTCATCCTACCACAAAAATCTTAAACAAAACCCACACCAAAAGACGGTCAGTTACAAACTATGTCTAATAATTGATCAAAACTTCTGCCTAGGAGATTCGAGTTATGAAATCGATATTAGAAATCTAATTAATCAAGCTCTAACTCTAATTAAACAAAGATTATGCTCGAAAACTTCTTAATTAGAAGAGAAAGGTTTTGTTAATAAATGTTGGTACATGTCAACGGCACTTGTAGGGACAGCTACCATCACCCTGACTGCCTCCCTCTGATTATGAACTGGCAATAACAAACAGTACTTATCACTGCAAATGGGCCCTACATGGGCTGGTTTGCCCAGCCCAAAGTCAACCTGCTCTAGCCCAAGTCTTGACCATTGCGACAATATTAACACCCCTACTGAGTCTGGGCTCGTCCTATTCCCATTCACTAACTCGATCACTTCCCTTACATATGTACCATCCACTCTTTCCTTAGCCCTTTTTATTAAATCCGTGGCATACCCCAACCCCTTCTCGGTTAGGTCCTTAACCGTGGTTTGTGCACACGCGAGCGCAAACCCGTTTCCATAAAACCCAACGGGTAGACCCGGTTTTAATCGGTTCCGGAAATTGACACTGAAAACTAGCCTTAGTACTTGGGTTGAGGGCATGTGTAATGATTTGGCCCAACATCTCCAAATATGGGCCGAAACAACCTCGAACGACGTGTAATTTGCTGACTCGTTGAGTCGATTAGCTTGTCTTTTGAGTTGGTTGATGTGAAACTTGACAAAGACCCTTGAAGTTGGGACCAATTTCTCAGTAGAGAATCTATCCAAAAACCCACAACAGTCCTGAACTCGGTTAAACTCGGGATGATGACTCACTGAGTCCAAACGGACACACCCTTTCGTTGTCGTAAACGGGTCAAGCAAGTGCCGATCCCAAACGGGCCTCGGCCCACGACCCGAAAGCCCACGGGTTAACTCAGCAAACGAGTTGATAAACTCAGCGCTCCCAATCCCATCACACAAACAATGGTTAAACCCGAACCCGATTGCAACCGCCCCGTCAGCAAGCCACGTCAGCTGAACAACAAGAGGTGGGGCCCCCTTCAAAACATCATCCACGTGTAGCCACAGGAGCTGCCGCCACTCCTCCACGTGGCATGGGGCCCTCTCAAAATCAACCCTCTTATACCCAGAAACAGCCTCAACAAACACAGCTCCTTGGGCCCGACACACCACCTGAAGAGGCCCATCTTTCCTCTCTTGAACCCGGCCCGCAAGAGGGTAGTACTGAACCAAGGCCCGGCCCAAAGCGGACTTAATCCAAGAGCAGAATTGCCTGCGATCGACTCCATTATAAGGATCGTAAATCAGGAGATACTCAATTGTGAAGCGTAGAAAGAGCTGAGAATCAAGGGTGGAAAGAGAAAGAGTACAATTAGGGGTTGGTTCTGAAGGGGTGATAACAATGGCTTCTTTGACTTGAACAAAATTGTTAGTTCCCATTTTTTTTTATGCAGATGAGAAATTTGTGCAAAAACAGTGGAAATATATAAGAGGGGATGGAGGAGAGAGAAAGAGGTGGGGAAGAGAGAGAGAGTGTGAGTTGTGTGGATATTGTTTAGGTGGAAAATGGTATGGAGTAATAGTAGTGAGTAGTATTGTACGGAGTTACAAATTAGAATCACCATGATTTTCCCTCTTTCTAGGACTAGCTAACTAGATTGATCTCTATTTTCTATTTCTATTTCTATCTTTTGTTTTGTTAAGATATGTTTCATGGGACTTTTTAGGTAAATTTCGGAAAACGACGTATACATTACCGATTACTCCCTCTGTTTATTAACAGCGTCGTAACATGTAATTAATTGACATACTGTATGTACTAATGTGGAACTTTGACTAATACATTGTAAAACTAGTTGTGAACCATAACAATTCATAACCAAAGGGCATAGTAACACTATTGAGCCGAAACTCAACCTGATATTAATTGACAATTGATCAGATACTATAATATCTGATTTGAACATAGAGCTACATCCAAGTGATCCAACCCAAAGTTGTCCACAAAACACTTGCAAGTTTGACACATAGACATTTTTTACTATGAAAAGGGAACACTTTCTAATATCTTGAAAGATACAAATATTTATTTAAGGTCCTATTTTTTTGAGTTGAATTAAGGTATTTTAAACTAAAATAAGGCTAAATGAGCGAGCCTTTTTGTAAAATTTTAACCTTTCATTAGCTGGATAAAGAAGATTAATCCGGTAAAATATATCACTACTAACACAGGTTACACCGTTAATTATCACATCAATTTCCAATGCATGAAAGTAGCTAAATAGTACAAACTATTTGTTCTATTCAATTATCTTTAACTTACTGTATTTCAAAAGTTTAATTCTTAATTTTAATTAAAAAAATAAAAACTTATTCGGTAGTCGGTAGCACTATTGTATTTTTGCTTACTTTACCAGCAAGAGGCTACGTGCTACAAATGAAAACAAATCAGTTTACAAAGAAAGTAACTAAAGGTAAATATTCGGATCACATTTTCAAGTTCAATCTAATATTGATCTTACTTTTTACTACAAGTACAGCACAGTAAATCTATTCATGCAAAAAAGTATATTGACAAATTTGCTCCAAATTTAAAACTCAAAAACTAACTACAATTGTTTATTATATCTGCCATACTTTATGCTACAATGTCAATTTATAATTGGTAACTCTAATACTTTATTTTAGGGAGAGAATTGTTTAGAACTGTGTAAGATTTAGTAGAGATTCTCTTAGCTTAGGATGTCACTTTAGTTAATTAAACTAATGATAATAATAATTGAGGGAATTTCAAACCAAAAAATCAGAGACATTAACAGCTTGTCTCTTGCTTTATGTCTGTCTAGGTTAGCGGTTTATTATATTTCGTTATTTATAATTGCAATAATTTGACTTTTATATTCTGTATTTTTATATCCATTTCTTTCTAAATAAGTGCATTAATATGAATAGATAATTTTGGCAAATATTTTATATTGTATATCTGTAAGTACTCCGTATTATACATAGTAAAAAGATTATATTATACTAAAATTAATTTTGATTAATCCAACATTATATTAGAGAGTGTGCTGAGGTTGCACATCGTCTAGCTAAATAGGCGGTGACATCATTTTATGATGAGGTTTGGCTCGGTGAGAGTCCTAATTGACTCTCGGATCTGATTACTCCAGACTTCGAACAACATTTATTAATAAAAACAATCTACCTTTTCCTTCAAAAGAAAATATACAACAGAGTAATACATAGCAAGCAACTACATGCTTTTTATTTTATAAAAAATATAAGAAAAATCAAGTGAATATACAAATAGTGTATATAGTCATAGTGAAGCACTTATTTAAAAGTACAGAGAAAACTATTTTGAGATAGTATCAATAATAATATACTAAGTATAAAAACAAATATTATCATGTAGATTAAAACATTGTTGAATTTGTCTCAAATATATATTTGATGTATCGAATTTTTGACTTTGACCGCATATAATCAAACATATTAATGATTAAAGTTATGTATAAATAATTACGTCGGTTAAATTGTCACAATTATAAGGAATTGGAAGAAGCATGCCGCAGTTAGAGGTTATAAGCTTAAGCATGGTTTACCCAAATTTTTCAAAGGATGGATAATATGATTGGGCTGGGGTGGATGTGGCTGCCTGTCTAACAATGTCTAGTTTATTTATACAATGAATTAATTTGTACGACAGATTCCTAATCACCCCCTTACTTTCTATGCTAACCTTTTCGTGTATGTGTATCAGAATTTATGTTGATACTATCATATCTTAATATATGCTTGAAAAGACATAATGATGTTTTTAGTTTGTGTAATCTCGAATAATATTATACGTAATTATCTTAAATAATTTCATTGATAAGGCCATTTTTTTTTATTTCCACTTGAATTTGAGTCCGGGCCATATATAATCACTTAGGAATCGACATCATTAGTATTTTGTACGTACCATTGTGAACAAATTATATACAATGAATCTATATGGAGGGAGTAAGAAATCAACCTTCAAGAGCTATTAAATTAACTCAATGATAACAAAGTGCCCTATTTGAAATCTAGTGATGATTTAGGGTTTAAGACTTTGAGTCTCCCCAGTCCACCTTTTTCATATGGATCAATCCTTTGGCAAATATTGCGAGAATTGATTAGATTTGAATCTAACTATTAAGCTATTAAAAGAAGATAATTGTTTGATTGTCCGGTCTAAATTAAATTTGCGATGAAATACATATTATAATCCTATCAAATTAAACATTCATATTCATCTCATGTTATGTAGATCAATTGACTTCACATGATCTGCCTTTCAATTTTCAATTAAAGAGTCAAGTGATGGTACATGCTCTTTTGACTTTATGATCGAGCAATATTTCACTCAATTATTTCTTTTGACAAAATAACAATTCTACATTGAAAATAATTTTTGCCAATTCCATATTTCATACCTTTATATTTTTAAAATTAGATATTTTGTCCTTCAAAAACCTTTACACTAATATGTCATAGTCCTTTAAAGATTATCTTGTCGATGATGGTGTGTATTTCTACTTCTACTCATATGGAGTAATGAGTATTTATTTATCACAAACCGTACGTACGTAATAGTACATAAAAAAAAATTGATGGGATGCCAGACTATATTCTTGCAAATTGTACCAATAATTAGAGTACATGGTATAATAATTACTCTATAATGAAAGTTTTGTATATTTGCTTCGATGAGATTAGGATTTTGTTGTTGGTATGCCTGTTGTTGCAGCATGTGGTTGATTGATGGTTGTTAATTTCTTGAGAGCTATCGCAAGCCATGTGGACTTGCGACTAATGTATGATTGTAATAACAGCTATGCTATGCATATAGAGAGTGCAAGGAATATTGTTTTTTTGTTCAATGACCGTGTTCTCTTCAACTTGTATATACGGAGTAGTATTTTTAAGACTTGTAACCACTACTGGCTTTATAATAGTACTCAAATAACAACAATAAACAAATATTTATAGGTATAATATCATTAATATTTCCATGTCAATGAATTAGAGTGCGAATTAATATTACCAAACATCATTTCGATGGTAAAAAATGTTTTAGTCAAAGAAATCAAATTTGAAAAGTTAAGGTTAGTTTATTCAATGACAAAGATTATCATACATCAATACAATAGAGATCGACTTAGATTTATGATGATTCTATTAGTAGTAAAATAAAATCAGATAAAGAGAACAAAGTATAAATTGTTATATAATCTTGACAGTTTTGTCAGTTTCCAATCTTATTTTTACTCGAATATATTATAAGAACTATTATATGCATATATAACTTTTACTATATGTATAACTTTTTATGTAGCAATGAAGATTCGTATTGATCCCACAAACATTATTCCCTCTAAAAAGGAAATCTAGCAAGAGCTGTGAATATGTTCCGATTTTGGCACAAAGTTTAATTCAAAATTATCATGTATTCATGTTGCTTAGATTTCCTTTGGCCGCCCTATATCTAAAGAAAGAGAATCAGTAAAGTAGCAAGAAAAAACGTTCTACTCTTTTGAAGCAATGGCGCATACCTATGAAAGCTCTTGAGCATAAACTACTAGGATTATACTTGTGAAAAAGTTCAACTTTATTGAACTTATAATCAAGTCCTAAAGGTTACTCTAGGTCATATATTCCTAACCATATATTGCAAATAAATATAATTCTGATCCCCTCTATGTAAATATATGAGCATGCAACGCCTATTTCGTGAGGCTAGCTCGAATTACTTTGTATTTTTATATAGTATTTAAGGATATGAATAAATATTATGGTAGTTACAATTTCTTCAAATATGAATTTAGTTAGTCTTATCATGTCATTAAATTTTGTGTCGTTATATAATAACTCGCTCGCTTCTTATTTATATCCCTATAATCAACAATTTTCTTTCTTTACTTAAAGGAAGCATCATCAATCCATTTAATACAAGCTAAGCATACAACCACTTGAGTACATCTTCATACATGCTAATTAGTAGTACTGTATTGTTCTCTTTCCAAGTACAAGCACTTTAATTAGCATAAGTATAATGTCAGTCTGTAACAGTCTAAAAGGTGAAAGCGTATAAAACATAAAGTTACTCAAAATATCTAATTAATTAATAACGTTGTGCTAGAAATTGTATCCTCTATATTCCCGATCATCATCATCATAATATTCCTTTCACAGAAAAAGGGTGGCGGACTGATGGCGAACTTTAGGGTTTTGCCCTAGAGATAAGGTAACCTCCCAATAAATTCATTAAATCTAAAGAAGGAAAGGGAGGCCAACTAGTTGACGTGGATGTCAATGTGACATCAGGTGAATATAGAAGTTTGACTCCAATGAGTGATGCATTTCACTAAGCAACACGCTAGAAGAGTATCACCTTCTACGGTTGGTTATACCACAAACATACACAAACACAAACACAAAACATAAAACACAAATACAAACACAGTAGCTAGTACAGTACACTAGTATGTACTCTTTTAAATTTAATTAAAGATTTTTGGCGTAGCTTGCACTTTTTCAAATGTTTCTCTATAGCAAGAATTTGACGAATTTTTCAATGAAGATTATGTCAGAATATTCTGTCAATATATTTTGGAAAATTTTATTTATTAACAGTTTTTATGTGGATGGTATTATGCATGCATGGCTGTACCAATTAATTTTAGAACACCGACTTTAATTCCCTTTTATGTGCTGTCTATGAGTACGTTATTATTTCGACAAGACAAAAACAATGTGGTTTGCCTTCAATTTTATTTTG